ACTACAGTTGGGGGTTGGGACCTTTGGTGTTACAACAGCAAAATAAAACACTAATTCACTACAATACACCAAAACATTTTTCTTTTACACTGAATGCGCGTTTCGTTAACTATGTTAGCGTCACCAACAGATTATTAAAGCTAACAATTTTAATCATCTGCTGATGATGTTAACATGGTTAAAGTGTTTTGGTGAATTCGGGTGAATTTGTTTTTTATTTTTCTAAAAAATAGTAAATTGCATTTATAGGAATTGCATTTAAAACCAATAGTAAAAAATAAAAGTACCGGGTGGCCAATTAAGAATGGATGCCGGCTGTATCTCAGAAACTACTTATCGTATAACTTTGGGAAAAAAATTCTAATAAGTAAATCGACCAAGAGAAATCGCTGCAGATTATTTTCAAGTTCGAAAAATGCCCGCTAGGGGGCGTTTCTCTAATAGCCAATCTGAAAACAGGGTTTTTCTCAAAAATATGCAGGTCAACAGGTATTTTAAATATTACGATTGTAATCATCGAGAAATTTGTAATTTTTTTGACACAGAGTATTTTGCTCTATCTCAAAAAATAAAGTGGTGGGGGAAGGTTAAACTTGCTTTTATTAAAATAGGGATAACTCTGGTTTAGGTTATGCGATTTAAACAAACCAGGACTCGTTTAAAAGAGCTTTTCTTCCTTAATGGTATTCAGTATAAATTTTGTTTCCTCAATTTTTTTCGTGGTAGCTAGAGGGCGCTGTTTGACATCATAACAGATATTGGGTTTTTGCGTAAAAAAATTAAATAAGAGGTTATATTTCTCTTTGCACAGTTAAATAGAGCACACAATTTGCAAAATATCAGCGCAAACCGAAACTGTCTATCTTCTCTCTAACCGGAGATATTATTACTTATTTCCAACAAAAATACAGCCAATGAGATGAACCAAAAAACAAACCATCGACAAAGGATGTATCTAGATGATAAAATAATTTTTAAATTTCTTGCTGTTTTAACATATTTCACAGGGTGTTTCAAACTTTCATCAAAAATATTAGCATTTTGTTTTCCCTCGTATAATTAACAGATGGGGAGTTTCATTTTTAATTTAGAAAAAGATACTAAGAAGTCAAATAATTTGGTAACACACTGCTTAAAAAATCATCAAAATCGGCCCATTAAAATAAAATATCTTAACCTTTAAAATACATCAAAGTTTTAAGGTGCCCATTGTTCGTGCCGGTGAATGTATTTCAAAAACTATACATTTTAATCATATACTTTTCTAATGAAAGAAACCTTTATTTTTTTACTAGAATCCAAAAATCAATTAATATATAGGATGTTCCATTACAAAAACCATAACTTTGATGTGTAACTTTTTTTTGGGACACCCTGTAGAACTCTACATAATTTTAGAAAATACTTTAAATTGGCTTACATAAGCTCAGAAAATTTCACTTCAATACAAACTTTTGTTCTCCTTGCAAAAACCGCGTCGCATATGACGCGCCACCCTGTATAATTCGATTTCAATCAAGATTTCAATGATTAGAATATAAGCAGAATAGGTGCATAATATGCATTAGATTTATTTATTATAGAAAAAGAATTAAAAAAATCAAAATATTAAGAAGGAAATTTAATTAAGAATTTACTAAAATATTCCGAGGTAAAAGTCTCTGGGCACTCCACTATACCCCGATATTTTTATTTAATGTATCCCCATGTTTCCATACAAAACCATTGATTATTCTTCAATTTAAATTATAGATCTCGCCAAGCGATATCATCAAAATTACATTTAAAAACAATATATTCAATCAGACAATAGTCGTCCTTTATTTTGTGTCTGTGTTTATCAGGTGTAAAACAGAATAGGAATCGTTTCACATTACTGGTTTTTACATGTCGCTGACGATAAACAGCGCCAGACAGCTCGAGGGATAATATGTATGAGCATTAACGCATTTGCATAAAACTGGGGAATCCTGATGCAACACACGGTTAGAAAAGCCGCATATGCGCCTGTCTAATAGGATTCCGTTTGACAGAAACCATTTCCAAGTGACATTCGAGAAAGATTTAATAAAAGTTCGGTAGAAACGCAATTTGGAAGTTTCGGAGTTACCTTGCCTCCAATTCTTCATAATGGGAATCCAATTTTCCTTTGAGTACGGCTTTGTTACAAGATAAATTTAACCAAAAGCTTAGTATTTTAAATATTTCCATATTTTTATGGTTTCGTACCTCAAAATTAAAAAAACGGAACCCTTATAGGATCACTTTGTTGTCTATTGTCCGTCTATCTGTCAAGACCTTTTATTTCGGGAACGCGTGGAGGTATATCGAGTTGAAAGTAAAACCCTGTACTCAGATCTACAATTATTCCTTGAAACTGTGAAAAAATAAAAAATTACGGTCGTTTATGCCGCAAAAAAAACGTATATTGCGTTGAAAGAACTATGAATTTGGCAAGTAATACCGTCTTATACCATATGATCGAGAAAAAACGGCGTCAGCGATGGCTATGAAATGAAGATCGCTGTCATTTTATATGTAAATTTATATGGAAAATGTCATCGATCGTCATTTCCCAGCCAACTGGACGCCGTTTTTTTTGATCATACTACTAGTATAAGGAAAAATCTGAAAACTATACATTTGCAATTAAATCATAAAAAATATAGTGTATTTAAATTACGCAATCAATCATCGAGGTTAAGCAACGGTATGCGCGGTCAAAATTGTATGGGTGGCCAAATCTTTTTGTAGATTTTTTAGAACTATTACTAATTTGAATAGAAAAGGAAAATCTAAAATCCCTATACCGGGTGCCTCCCAAAAGTGGCTCACCCCTATAACTTCTTTATTTTTTCATATAAAAAAAAACGAGATTTGGTATGTTAGTATTGTTATGACAGATATTAGGATTGATTGACGTATTCAATTGTTTTCGGCCACTTCCTGTTTCACCGGAAATTACTACGACTTTTGATTTTTAAATAGCACCCTCGGTATTTTTTTTACTTTATTCAATAGAAAATAATACTCTGAATAGAATGACATATCATATGTCAACTTTTGACATTTTGGTATATGGTTTTTTTGAAATTATAACTTGCGGTTCGTAATAAAAATTTGACTCGAAATACCAAGTGTGGGGTATCAAATTATTCGTAAAAAAATGCTTTTTCCAAATATGCTAATGAGCCACCCTCGTTCCATTTGAAAACATTGAGATGATGAAAAATACGATTTGAGTATTTTCTAACTGGTCAGGACAAGACACTAAAAACATTAGACGATCAAACCTATTTTTCCAATGCTCCTTGATAAAGAATTAGTGTTTTTAACATAGCCATGGCACTCTAGATTGAATTTTAAAATACAATTTTTTATTAAGCGAGCATGTCAAAAGTTGACATATGATATGTAATTCTATTCAGAATGCCATTTTCTATCAAAAAAAATAAAGTAAAAAAATACCGAGGGTGTCATTTAAAAATCAAAAGTTGTAGTCATTTCCGGTGAAACAGGAAGTGACCAAAAACAATTGAATACGTCAGTCAATCCTAATTTATGTCATATACTGGCACACCAAAACTCGTTTTTTTATCTGAAAAAATAAAAAAGTTATAGGAGTGAGCCACTTTTGAGACGCACCCGGTATTTAAAATTATAACGAAAAAAAACAGTGTCATGTGGGGTATCTTAAGAAAGGGCTTCATTAGCAAAAACTTAATTAAACTTTTAATTATTTTTATTAATTTTAATTTATAAAAAAAAAATATTTTATTTCTTATCATTTTTAAACAAGTTTAATTATTAATTTTTATTACAGTTGGGGGTTGGTACCTTTGGTGTTTCAACAGCAATAAAACACTAAGTCACATTTACTTTTGCACTGGACGCGCGTTTCGCTAACCATGTTAGCATCATCAGCAAATGGTTAAAACTGAAGTTGAACAGTTTTAATCATCTTCTGATGATTTAGAATTTAGAATGAGTGGGAGGGGGGTTAATCATTGCGAACTTACAGATCTATTGTGTCCCCCTTTTTGAGTTATAATTCATCAGTCTCTGGGCTTTGACAAAAGCCAGTATCTGGGACGGTTTTACAGAGGGTAGTGCTCCATCTCCAATATCAGTGACTTAAATCCAGGAGATCTTTGATTTTTCTTGGTAGTAAGCCCTCAGAAACATCTTCGAGTGTCTTAGACCGTTGTAAAATTCCTATTCCAGGTTGCGGATGGAGTCTTCCCAGTTCTTGAGTTCCGCTTTTAATTAGTTACCACTTGGGAAACAGAACGGTTCTAGTCCAGTTAGTGGAGTGTTCGCTCCTTTTCTATCTCGATCATTTGCTTTTTCATTGCCTTCTATCCCATGGTAAGCAGGCACCCAGAGTAGGAGGATTTTGTTTTCTTTGCCTAATTTATTCGGCTTCTCTATGCATTCTTTGGCCAACTTCGAATTGATTGATACTGAGTTGATCGCTTTTAACGCTGCTTGATCTTCAGAGATCTTCTGATGATGCTAACATGGTTAGCGTTAGCGAAACGCGCGTCCAGTGCAAAAGTAAAAATGTTTTGGTGTATTGTGGTGATTTAGTGTTTTATTGCTATTAATTTTTAATTATTACCTAAAAATTTGTACGAAACCTCTTTAGTCTAAGTACCAAAGCCTCGGTAGGCGAATGCGACCAGAACTTGTTTTTAATGATATTAAAAACAATTTTGGGGAAAAAATATGTTTTACATTTTCTTCAATAAACAAGCGAGTATGAAATTGTTACATTCGAAATATGTTATGTTAGAAAGGAACTCCTGCTAATGAAAGAAAACAAAAGTATTGGAATAAAAAAACAAGATTTTCACAAATAACACTCACTTAGTAATGTATACTAAAGGGTCTTCAAATTTGAGTTTGCTTTTTGAAATTTGAGGATGCAATTTTAAAATTAATTTTATAAATTTTCAAATAAGAAATTATACACAATAACCCAAAATTTAGACACTCACCTACTATTCCAAAACCAAGAGAAAACATCCAAACCCATCTTGAAAGAAAATTTCCAAATGTATTAACAATTTCCATTCTAATATTTTTTCTTGATAATCATTAGTAATATGTTATACCAAACTACGATCAGCCTTGAATAAATTCATTTTTGAGCACAGTATATTTCGCGAATAACCATCTATAAAAACACAATCAAAAGAATCTATGTTTTTCTTCGATTTAAATTTGCCGCGTTCGTGTTTACAATAAAAACAACCGAGAATCGTATACGCCGGTAGGGCCGCAGTCACGGCCGCCTTTCTTTTAATGAAAACCTCGCGTGACGACTGAGGAGGGAAGTACAGAAGCGCGAAACGTGGCGTCGATAGCACTCCCCCACCGTTTGATCGTCGCGACGCTATACGGGGGTTTCCAAAAGATTCTGGATGGAATTTCGACAATAGCAAAGAGTAGATAAGACAAGGGTTTACCAAGACAAGAGACGACAGTGAACAAAGAAGACGAATTTCGCGAGAGACGCAGATATATTAAAATTTAAAGGTCCCATCAAGTCCCATTTTGTCTGTTGCCAAGTATATTTCTATGAAAAATAAACAAGATTTTCTGAAAATAAATTAATAATATAAGAAGAATATAATAAGTAACGTATGTTAATACGGAAATGTAAATTTTTAGTTTATGTTGGTTTAGGTTCTTTTTTCGTAATTTACTGATAATATCAAAGAAACCGAATGACTAAGTTGATCGATTTCAAAGATAAACGATAAAATCTGACAACGGCGTATTTTATTTATTCTAACCTATGATTTTAGAACGCTAATCAGCTGTGCTAATCAGGCTTAAACATAAACAAATCTGATTAGTTGTTTTCTTGCATTGTTGCCTTTTTAAAGTGTGTGTTTCAGAGTTTTTCGATATATTATCGTTTTGAGAGTTTTTAAGGTTTAATTTTAGTATCGTTTTTGTTGCGTACTAATTTGTAATTAATTGTTAAATATAAATACTGAACAGGACACGAGTAGCAGGAAAAGACGAGATGGTGGCAATGTGTGTGCTTAAACATAACATTTCATTGTTGTGCACAAACATAATATTTCACTCGTTTCCAAAGGATCCTGAAAAGTATTTTTATAGAAATATACTATATAATTATGTTATTAAACTAAATGTAATCCATAGATCGAAGACATGGTTAGAAGCTTGTAATATATTTTTACAAAAAAAATTGAGCAACTCAAAATTGAGTTTTTTTGTACATAAACTCCACATTGTGATATTGTAGAGTGGAGGGGAGTTAATCACCGCGACCTTATAGATCTTTTGTGTGTTCATTGTAATATTACACTTGTTCAAGTCCATATGTAAAAAAAATACAAGTAAATAAAACACTTCTTACAAATCGACTTGGTCACTTTATCTTGTTTACCAACGATATACAAAATATTGCTTTTATTATCTTTATTCCCCCGGACAAATATGTTTCTAATTATAATTTATTTTATATAATATTTAGAAAAACTCATTTTTTTCTTTCGTTTCTATTTATTTCTTTACCCATACAGTAACTATTTATAAGCTATACAGGCAAGTTTTAATAATAGTCTATTTCAAATTTCCCGCAAAAAAGTTACGAAAATTTAAAGGGACAAGCGAGACGAGGTCACTCTCCCACCACTCAATCGTCGCGACGCTATACGGGGTTTCCAAAAAGATTCTGGATGGAATTTCGACAATAGGACATTACAACAACACATTTTTCTATGTTTTTGAAAAAAAATACCACAAGAAAATGTTAGATTTAAAAAAAAACAGTATTATATTGAGGAGAGTATATTTAAAACCTAGTAAGGTTTGGATATCTTTACAGATCTGCATAGAAATGGCAGAATGTAGTGGAAATGTAGAAGAACAAGGGGGGAGGGGGTATTCGCTAGTAAAAGCAGCCAGTAAAATATTTTTGGAACTGCACTATGCAGATAATGTCTATTGCATCTATGAAAGGTAAAATTAAATAAGTACAGGATATCACATTTTGGTTGAAATTATACGATATCTTCGTTATTATTAAAAGAAGAATTCATTGTTCAAGTCTCATGGTTTCTCTAAGGCCGTTTTATTTTTTTTTGTCATATTTATGGCCCTTGATTCTATTTTCTAGATATTGTGACGTTTGCTCTATGTATAACCAGCAGTATGGTATTTTATATATTAAATTTGTTTTTTAACATTGAACATTTTTGTTGCTTTTTTGTGGAGTGGTCAATTGAATTATAACATTTATTGATTCTGTTTGAAAAAATGTTGTTTATTAGTGGGGTTAGGTTAGGGTTGGTTAGGTTACACTGATAAAAAAGATAGACTTGAACTAAAGTCGTCATCGATCTTGAAAAAAAAAATTAGTGGTAAGAGAATTTATTTTAGCGTAAAAGAAAATATTTTGCCTGAAGAAAAACTCTCTTAACTCAAGAAAACTGGTTCTCTTGAAAAATTCGAAAATTTCTCTTCAATCTATTTTCATTCAACCCAGTGCAAGTTACTTTGTTTTAAGATAATAAGAAAAATACGCTAGGAAGTACTTCATTCAAGAAACATGGCCATTTTTCCAATAGCTAAATACTCTTTTGATGAAAAATAATAACGACACGCAAAGACGATGACGAAGGACGGTATATACAATATACAGTCAGTCAGCAGTCCGATCAGTAGTCATAGATCGCACATCATAGTACGCACGGGTTTTGTTGCTTGGAATTTTCCACTTTTTAAACGCATATCGTATAACAAATTAGTGATCGTTATTAACATGCATTTGTCATTTTTTATGGACAAATTTTAGGATATATGGATTCTTTAAAGGAGTTTCTGAAAAAATGGAAATTAGAGCATTGATTTGCCTAATGCACCTGTTTAGATAATGCATGCGTGACTATAGATAGAATAAGAATATAGGTATCGATTTTTTTATGCAAATAATTACAAAAGTCGCCGTATTAAAAAATTCAAAATGTGACCAAAGCTTCTAATTTTAATAATTTATTTGCTTTACTTTGATTAATCGTGATGTAACATTTTTTTGTAATTTGTAGAGTGATGAACCACCCCAAAAAATACCAAGTAGTGAAGAAGCAGAAATAACTACTATCGAGGAAAATAATATCACTTTACTTACTACAGACCAGGAAAACCTAAGTTTATCAGAGAATAATATACCTCATAATATGCCTGTATATGATGTATAGACTTCTCTTAGATCAAAATAAATTTTAGTTGAGTCAATAGTATTCGCTATTGGTTTAAGAAAAGTGTCTCTTTAATCAAGAAATGGTCCCATTTCAATCAAGAATTTTTGCACGAATCAAAGAGACTATTGTTCTTGTAGCAAGAACTTCTTTGCATATTCATTTTGGGTCAAGAGTGAAATACTTTGGACAGATAGATTCCTCTATTCTCTAAAGTAATTTTTTAAAGCTTATGAAAAGATAGTTAATGCTTTGGGCAAAGAAACGTCGTGCTTGGCCCTATTGAAAAGCGCCAATCTTTTGGGTCAAAGTCATATTCATTTCGACTGAGAGATCCTTTTTTTCAGTGTAATTATTGATTTTTAATGCATGTATTTCTCCATGCCACTTTACTACATATACTTTATTTACATACTTTATTTCATAGAAGCGACAATTTGCAAGACTCTCAATGAAGAAATTTATCACAAAACTATTTTATTTTGAAAATTACCTTTTTCGTGGATAAGTCATTAATCGGTCATAGAAAAAGGTATTGAAAAGAATAAAAATATATTGTTGGCTTATTATTTCTTATTTAGTTATTTTCAATTTACCGTTTTTAAATGTTAAACAATTACTTTTGAATTTTATGTACAACACAATCTATTTCCAGTAATAATTAATTAGTTAATTTCCAAAGCGTGTCGAGAAATTGTTTTTCTAACTACCCTTTCCAATCATAATTTATGTCTTTAAATGTCCAACGCTTGATGTTTTTCTCCCCTAGAAATGGGCAATTTTCGATTATACCAACCTGCAACCGCCTCAGTTGTTGCGTGAGACATAACAGAACTGCCAGAAATTACGGCCTGTGTAGAAAGGGAAAAAGGGCGAAGTCTCCACATAGCGAGTCCCTTTCTTCTTTTTCCCCTAATAGATAAGGGCATAAGGGAAATAGCAGCCGTAATAGCCGCTGTTGCGTAGTAGAACTCAAGATAATATAGTCACGGAAAAAATTGCGTTTTCTTTTAAATTACTTACTTTTATACAGAGTGAAATGTCCAATAAAAAAATATGTATTTATAAAAAATGTCTTTACTAAGAACTTACTTTCAATAGTTGTTCTTTTCATATTACCGTTGATTGAAAGAATTGGGAAGATATGCAACCTAATGGACGAGGTCGTGACAAAGCTGATTTGATTTTTACGTCTCAAGTGCTGTACGGTGGAAACCACAAAACACACATACAAGAAGTGCGAGCGCCTTGCTAAATATTGGAAAGTGAAATTGACGTTTAAATTTGACACTGTTGACAAGTCTACTGCTACTAGCGCCCCCAATATCGCTTGTAGGAACTACGGACTAGATTGTCACGCATGGCGGGAACCACAATAAATTAATAAAATTAAAAGAATAATGTTACAAGTAAATCAAGAGACAAAATTAATTATAACAAAACTGAAAGAAATGGCGTCATAGATGGCTTAGAAATGAAGATATACACAGGGGCCGGAAAGTGAAATAGCAAAAGCGGTTCCACCGTTTCCACGGAAATTTCAAATAAAATAGTTCCAGCCTCGGGCGCTAGGTGGCAGTGCAATTAATTTTTAGGTTAAGAAGTTGCTACTAGTTATTGCCAGATGGCGTTCAATCAGATTTTTTTTATATAGCGCCAATCATAATATTATCAAAAATGATTATCAAAACGTTTTTCAAACTATAATTTGTTATATATGTGTTTTTATTAGACAATTCCTTTTGTTTGTGGCCCTAAAAATATAATGTAAGTCTTTTATTTTTGCTATCATTTAAGTACCTATTTATATTTACTCCATTTACAAAACTTTGGGCGTATTACGTTGGTCTTGTTTTATTATAATAAACGATGTTTAAATATTTGACTTATAAATAAAAACTTTAAATAATAAATAATATTTACACATGTTTGGCTTTAATTTGATTTAATAATTGTATAAATTATACTGTTAATCTTATTTTTACACATCACAACGATACTTGTTATTAGTATTGTTGAATTCGTGTAAAAAATAAGATTTAATAATCAAATTTAATTATTTTAGAGAAAAATTCAATAAATCCTCTCATTTAAAAAGCCCGCGCTTCGATCCATTTAAAACAAGCCCTACTCAATAGATGGCGCCACATCTGTAGGACCATTTTTCAGTATGGCAGAGTCCATTCTTTTTCTAGCTAGGTATATTCTTTGGCTATATATCATAATTTTCAAAGTAAAATTATATGGGAAATGTCATCGATCATCATTTTTAAACCAACTGGACGATTATTTCAAACATACAAGCTGAGTTCGTTCATAGTGCTCTGCGAAATCTAGATAAACAAAGAATAATAAATTAAAAAGTATTCCAGGGGGAAAAGAGAGGAAAAACCTGTATCGTCTCTGATATCTGTCAGGGTATTGTTGAAAGTGTCATCTTTTGCTCGAAGTTTTCAGGTCGATCAAAAGATGATATTTACAACAATACTTTGCCGTAACTTTCACAAATATCAGAGAGAGTACAGGTATTGCCTCTCTTTTCCTCTGGGATGCTTTATATCTGTTGTTTGTTTATCTATATTTCTCAGAGCATAATGCCGAACACGACAACAGTATATAATAATTTCAAAATCCTAAGTGGAAAGAAAAAAGACCACCTTTCTGTTTTGTACTATGGTCCCTTTCTTCCGATAGCTCATCTCGTTGATATTTAGGAAGGTATCCATAAAATATAGGTATATTTTACTATCGGTCCTGGGATGAAAAAAATATAAAATTCAATTTGATTTGATGATCCTTTTCTGTCACCTAAATCAGGAGAATGACAATGAGCATGTTAAGATGAAAAACAATTATTTATCAACACTTTTACCTATAGTCTGTCCAACGAGCAGATCCTTGACAGTGATAGATGTGTGTGTCATTTTAATTTCAAAGTAGTTTATTTTATTTTACAAAGAAATAAGTTGGTACAACTGGAACGCATAGCAGGAAATATTTAAAATTTGATTGACAAGATGACAAGTGATTACTTCAAAATATTGTGAAAAAAACTGTATAAAACTGAAAAAATGTAATCGAGTTATTTTATTTAATAAAAACGGTATGTGTTAATAGAAACAAACAAGAACAAGACACTACATACCAAAAAAAATAAAAAAGAACTATTATTTACTTTCAAGCTTTATGAAACTACCCGCATTTATGATTATATTTATCAATATAACTTATGTACAAATACAAATTTGTAATATTCCACAGGAATAAATAAAACAACACAGGTAAATAAAACAAACTATTTTATTAATAATAACACCTACCAAATTTTATACCTTAAAGGTTGATTAATTAACTTTAATCTTAATTTTTTTAAACCAGTACCTTTTGACATTATTTTTCTGCAGTACTAAAATCCATTATTTACCTATCGTGTGATGTCGATATTTTACAGCTACTCCAGTTTTTAGTATGTGTTTAGTTTGATCCTTCTACCATATACGAGATGCACTTATCTACGACGAAATGGTATACAAACTTTATCGATGGCAACTTCATTGGTGTATAAGACTTTCTGCCTGGGCAGCGAGTATTAACCATAAACTGTGCTCTGGGTCTACAGTTAATTTTCACTCAATTTTTCCTCCACTTGACTTCAAAAGACACAAAACACACGTAATAATACGAATCAAAATGCATCATCTTCCAAAACGCAGGGTATTTAACAAAAGTTGACACAAAATTATAACCTATAATTTGGCAAGACTTTGACAAGCGTCAAAAATGACAAAAATCTAAAGGCGAGTTCATACGCATCGGCGTCCGTTTGTCGTTCATCGTTCCGTCAAACCAATAAAATTGAAATACGATCTGTAATTTTTTAAATAAACCAATAAAACTGGTTAAAAACAACAAGACACGACGCATGACGGATTTATATTTAAACCCATCCATAGATAACTTAAAAATTATTAGAAACTTTTTTTAGTAAAATAAATAGATTGGTATGGGACGACATCTGCTTTTCTTCTGTCATCGTCTGTCGAAATCTTACCTGAGAAAAAAAACAGAGTATACACGTTAGTCCGAGTTAATACTTTTATGACGTTTGAAAAAAAAATATATTAGTAAGAAATATTAAATTTTATATGTAATGGAGAATCCAACGGAGGTGGTCACATAATTTCATTCATAAACAAAACACAATTTCCAGATATAATTCCACATTCCGCCCGCTCTCATTTACAAACGCACAGAAAGAAAGAATCATAATTTACGAACTTCGTAATTTACTACTTTTCTTTCATTTAGAGCGGCATAAATTACATGAGTCAGGACGTCATTGCCACTAACAAGTTTTAATTAAATGTTCAAATTATCCCACTATATACGCAATAATGGACGGTACGTTTAGACCTTGTGATAACGCTATATGCCGACTGTGAAGAGGCGTTAAACCATGTTTATTGTTGTTAAAAAAGAGGATATTGTCGTGATGTTTTATATGAAATTACCTGATGTAGTATGAAATTATGTGTAGATTAAGAAATTACCAGGATACTTTTTTACTATTGATTTTACTAATTTGGTTGAAATTGTTGAGAACACTATCTTTTTAAATTATAATCTAATACCGAATAAAAATGGCGTCAGCGATGGCTATGAAATAAAGATCGCTGTCATTTTTTATAATATGTATTATAATAAACTATGAACGGTCGAAACCTAAACTCTAAATTATAAATGTCTCTTTGGTAATGTAAGTACTTAACTATATGAAATAAAAAACAAAAAACAAATACTAGGTCTATGAAACACCCTGTACATATAAGAGTCTAATTTTCTTTATCACTTTCATCGTCAGTGTCGGTGTCGGAATCATCATCACTGCTGTCATTATCAGTTTGAATAATTAGAGGTTTCACTTCTTCCATGTACTGGTCAACCTCCCAAAATGTATTTTCAATGTTGATTACGTTTTTATTTTTTATTTCTGGATTTTCTCTTCAAAATGCGGGATAAAATTTTGTATACCTAGGTGCAGCTGATTAAAAAAAAATTATACGACTTGATTAACTTATTTTTTATTTTAAGCAATGTATTATTTTTATGTCTCTATTCTTTATTCTTGATATTTTTATTAACTTGCAATAAGTTGAGTAATTATTGTTTAATAAAAATCCCCTTTGTTGCAGTCTTTTTTGCTCGCATTCTTTCGACCTCCCTTCATTGGGTTGTCAGACTGTATAGAATATTTTTTAAGAGAAATGTGTCACCCTGTATAATCAATAGATAATATAATCAATTGTTTGAATAATTTTGAATTATAGTGGCGCATTTAGAGATCTCTAGATGCGCCACTGCTTAAATTTGTTCATTTATCTATTGATTTTAATTAGAGTTAATTATCTCTAAAATATCAGTCAGTTCTGCTAGTGAGCGCGATCTGTAGAATCAATTTTTAATGATCTACGCTTAAGAAACTCGACGACGTATTTGTAGTATATATAACTCACCAGAAAACTTTAAATTTAGTCACATGAATGAAAAAATTCGTATTTTTGGCATTTGGCTTAAAGCATCCCATAACTTTTATGATTAATGTGAATTATGAAAAGATGCTGCTTAGTAAAGAGTTGTGAAAGTGTTTTAATCAAACGAATAATTTTAATATAATACTAAATCTTCAGTCCTTTCAGCTTTGTAGGTCATCAGATATTTATAATATTTAATAATTCGGACAGGCCTAGCAAATATTGTTAGAAATATGAGAGGCATTTAAAATTTTAAGACGGTTCTTGTGACAGCGAAATATAACGCTTGTTTACAACAAGAAAATGATCTAATAAAGCTAAAAATATTTGTAGCTGTAGCCGTTAATGTTTGTGAGTGTCATTTTGGGATTTTACAATAATATTTGTGTAGGAGAAATTAGAACGGAAATTCTACATATGTTTCTATAATTTATACAGGGTGTCTTTCTGGAAATAATATTGTTTGAGTAAAACAAAGTGCTGCTATAAATATGTCAAATCAATGTTATTGATAATTACCTTTAATTTAGAAGACTGTGTATATAGAGGCCTAGGTGGGTTTCTATCAATATACGACACATTTTAATTTTAAAATAGGTTACTAAATAGTTTTTAGTTAATTATAATCAAATTGAGAAACAAATAGTAGAAGTTATAAACTAGGTAATTATACTACTAAATAACAAAAATAAGTAAAATCAATATTATTTATACCGGGTGTTTATCAAAAGTGGCTCGCTTATATAACATTTTTATTTCTTCAGAGCAAAACACGAGATTTGGTACGTTATATTATAACATAAATCAGGATTGATTGACGTATTTAATTGTTTTCAGTCACTTCCTGTTTCACCGAAATTACTACAATTTTTGATTTTTAAATGACACCCCCTGTATTTTTTTTACTTTATATATATAAATTCGGGTCAGAATGTCCTACGACGTTGTCCGATGCCTAACTTCCACCCTGTGCGATTTTCCCATCGATCTTCGGTCAGATTTTTCTCGCTCATCGACCTTCTTATTCCTTCCATCCATGTTTTCTTGGGACGTCCTCTCTTTCGTTTATCAGGTGGTATCCAATGAATGACTTGTTTTGGAATTCTTTCATTGTGCATTCTCTGAACGTCGCCGTACCATATTAATTGTTTTTGTTCTATATCATTTACTATTGTTCCCTCTATTCCCATCTGTTGTCTAATGTCTTCATTTCTGATCTTATCCCTCCGTGAAATTCTCATTGCTCTTCTAATCGCGTCCATTTCTGTTGTCTCTAATTTCCTTTTATTCCTTTCAGTGAGTCGCCATGTTTCACATCCATAGAGTAATATGCTTTTAACTAGTGTCTCTATATATTATATTTCCTGTTTTTTGTAATTTCAGTGCTCCATAGAATGCCATTTATGCATCTGATAACTCTTCGTGCCTGTATTACTCTGTTGTTTATTTCTCTATCGTCCGTTCCATCTCCTGTAAATATCGATCCCAGGTACCTGTAATTTTCACATGCCCTAATTTCCATATTATTGTCTAAAATAAGATTTTCTGTATTAGCTCCAATTGGAAGGTATTTTGTTTTTTCTGTATTTACTGTGAGACCCCATTTAGCATATTCTTCAATTATTTTCCGCACCATATATTCCATGTCATCTTTGTCATTTGCAATTATGGCCTGGTCGTCTGCAAATTGCAAGGTGTATAGGCATATGTCATTTAGTTCTATACGCATTCCGTTACATTTTCTTAACCATAGATGTAAGGCCTTGGCAATATAAATTTTAAATAGTGTTGGGGATATACAACAACCCTGTCGGAGCCCTTTAGTGATAGAAATTTCCTCTGAGAGACCGTTGACCGTTTTTATTTGTGATTTTCCTCCATGGTAAAGATTTTGTACAGCTTTTATCAGAGCTGGCGTTAATTCTTGATTAGTGCAATACTTCCCATAATTTTATTATTGGCACTGTATCATATGCTTTTTGTAGATCGATGAATGTTATATGAACTTCCTGGTTCATTGCAGATTTCTTCTCGATGATCTGTTTCAATGCAAAGATATTATCTGTACATGATCTTCCGCTTCTGAAACCATTCTGCTCTTCTTCTTCGTAGCTGGAGTATTCCTCTTCAATTAAGTTCCTCAGTATCCTTCCATAGAGGCGACTCATAGTGCTGGTGACCGAAATTCCCCTGTAGTTATTGGGATCCTTCCTTGATCCCTTTTTATATATAGAGGAGATATATGCTTTTTTCCACTGTTCAGGTACTGGCTGGCCATTTAAGCACTGGTTAACTATGTTTGTTAACATTCTAAACAGTTTTTTGCTTCCAGATTTTATGAGTTCCGCATATACTCCCTCTGGGCCACATGCTCTTCCATTCTTTAAAGACATTATAGCGGTCTTTATTTTGTTGGTATCCACGTAAATTTCCTCTCCTTCAATGTTTATTTCTGGCTGTGGCGGTTCTTGATACTCAGGTCTGTTCTCTGACAACAATTTGGAATTTTTGATCTTAAAAGGTAATGATCTGAGTGGTGTCCGGTGCCCCTTAGGGTTCTTACATCATTAATTTTTATGTTGTTACTTTGTTTTGTAATTATATAATCTATTATTGATTTTAGGTCACGTGTTGTTTTTTTTTACTTTATTCGACAGAAAATGACACTCACACTCTGAATAGAATGACATATCATATATGACAACTTTTAATATATTCGCTTAAAAAACATGGCATTAAAAATATCTAACTAGGACATAACGTTGTCTTTAACTAGGATAAGAACTCTAGGATAAGAATATCTCCATAGGCGTGTTCTGGTTGTACAGGAATTGCAAGTATTGTACCAGTAAAGTTGTAAAGTATATTTCACGTATGTTTAAATTTTTTTAAAGTATATTTCACAACGCATTTGTTTGGCAGATTGTCATATTGTCTTTGTGACTCATCATATCATTTTAATAGAGTTTCTTCATAACTAGAGTCTCCTAAACACACTCTTTTCGAAGGCCCGGCTATATTTTACAAAAGTTTGTCGCACACAAAATCTTATACAAACGGTCCGGCGTCGTCTGAGAGACTACGGCATAAGTAACTTCTGCCAGAACTTCTAAAAAACTAATCCAGTTTGGGCATAAATATATGGCTATCAGTTGTTGACTGAGAGGGGGAGGATTAGCTGGAACGCCAATCCTGTAGGCGGTCCCAGTAACTAATGAGAATTAGTTCATTATTTGGCGTATAGTCTGTCAGACGACGCCGGACCAGATAAGAGTTAAAATTCTATTAATAACAATCTATCAAAGAACGAAAACGAAGTTATATTACCGTAAAAACGCGTTTTGATTTTTAGGACTTATAAATTAAATTATACTTTCATGTTTTTTTTATTTTCTCTAAAACGGTATGGAAATTTGAAAAGTATAAACGGGATTAACCATTTTAAAACAAGCAAATTTTTTTTATGAAGAATGCATTTTTTCCAAAATATCAATAATAAAAAAGTTTTTCTTCTTGTCAGAAAATCCAGGGATATACTGTTATACAGGATTGTTCACCACATGCGACACGGAGTATTGTAATTAAACGATTAGATTTTTACAAATTGTAAGTTTTGGGTTGGTTGAAGGACTATTAGAGCGACAATTTAAAAATATTTTTACAACATACAGAGTGTCCCAAATCAATAAAAAATATCAAAGTTGTATTTTTTTAAATGGAACACCCTGTATATTATTACATTTTTAGTTTCTACGATTAAAATAAAAGTAAATTGGTAAAGGCTTATCACCCTTAAACCTTACCGTTTTTGAAATATTGTAAATTTTGTGAAATTGCAGTAAAAATTTCAGAGCTTCATTTCTCTAAGGGTATCAAAGTTTTTAATACTAAATATTTACTGAAGTTTAATTATTGATTAGTTATTGTGTTGCAATAATAAAAATAATACTACTTCATACAGAGTGTCTAAAAATTTATTTTAAATAATTTCTAGCTTTAAACGGTAATAACTTGTTTAATTTAAATGGAACACCCTGTATATTTTAGGAGAATCAGATGCACAATTTTATTGTCCATCAAATAGTATTATACCATTTTTTACCTATCTCTTCAAGTTTTCGTAGAAAATGCGTTTTCTAATAATTTAGACCTCATTTATCAATATACCCATGGAATATTGACATTTTAGATTGTTTTTAAAACAACAAATGTACAAAATGTACAGGTGCTAAAAATGATAATATTACCAGCCTATTTGTATACAAAAATAAAACTATTAAAATCTTCATAAAAGACTATACCATTAATTAAATATACCACCAGTATTTCCGCCCAAATATTAATTAATTACATATTTAATTGTGTTAGTTAATAAATTATTCTAAATAAATGGGGATTTGGAATCAGAAATCAATATAATAATAAGTTATGAAAATGAACATCTTTGTTGTTATAAATAAGCATTCGTCAAAAAATGAAATAAAATTTTTAAGGTGTTATTTTTTACCACACTGTCTAATATACATACAAAATACAGTTTTTAATATTTGGAGCAATTATTATTAATCAATGCAAGCAGTCCATTAATGTAATTTGAATACTGGAATCATATTCATTGGTCCTTTCTACAAATATTTAAACGTTTTTTTTTAATTTTTTAATGACATAAACGAACTATATTGACAATATTGGTATCTGTACTCTTTAGAAATTTGATACATCTTTAAAAATAATCTAAAATGTCAATATTCCATGGGTATATTGATAATTGAGGTCTAAATTATAAGAAAATGCATTTTCTACGAAAACCTGAAGACATAGGTAAAAAATCATATAATATAATTTGATAGACAATTAAATTGTGCATCTGATTATCATAAAATATACAGAGTGTTCCATTTAAATTAAAGAAGTTATTGCCGTTTAAAACTAGTTATTATTTAAAATAAATTTTTAGACACTCTGTATAAGATAGTATAATTTTTATTATTACAACACAATATTTTGTGAATAGAAATACTTCAGTACAATATTTGGTTTTAAAAACTTAAATACGACTAGAAAAATAAAGCATTATAATTATTACTGTATTTTGACAAAAACCTAAATATTTCAAAAACGGTAAGTTTAAAATGCGGTAAACCTTAATCAAATTTACCTTTATTTTAATCGTAGAAACTAAAAATGTAATAATATACAGGGTGTTCCATTTAAAAAAATACAACTTTGATATTTTTATTTATTTGGGACACTCTGTATCTTGTAAAAATATTTTTAAATTGTAGCTCTAATAGTCCTTCAACGAACCCAAAACTTACAATTTGTAAAAATTAAATAGTTTAGCTACAATACTCCGCGTCGTATGTGGTGAACAACCCTGTATACAGCAAATATTATCAAACAAATTTATACAGGATATAAAAAAAGTAGTAGTATGTCGTAAGAGTTTTAATTATTTAATAAACATTTTCATAAATTTGTATATCTGAATAAACCACTGCTCCATTTGCAGGCGTGTAAAACTGTTCGAAGAATACTATTTCGTTATCTCCTTCAACCAAAAATGGACCGGGCAGGTATAATGTAGCTTGAGGACCAACAGCCATGTAATGACCTAAGTTGAAGCCGTTAACAAAAACCATGCCTAAAATTATTATAATAAACCTCTGCACTATTGGCGAAATAACTCTAAAAATATCTAGAAATATAATGTCTCCCCGCAAGAGATGGCACATGTTTTTTGAAACACTCTGTATAAAATAGCAAATATTTTTATATAAAAAATATGTTTATATAAAATAGGCAAAATAGCTTTTAGTCAATGCAGTAGTAAAATATCTCATTTATTTTGAATTTATTTAAAAAACGGCAAAGAGAAAATATTAGGTATCTTTTATCGAAATCTGCCAGCCCTGAAAATATTATTAAGCACTTATTTAAGACTCGCTCTGTATAATAACCTAACCTATATTTTTTTTATTTATTTTGAGACTCTTATTCAAAAATTAAATTAGAAACCGTTAAGATAAAATCCATTTATTTTTCACCTCGTCTCTTATAGAAATTGAATTTAATATTATTAAAAAGTAATCATATTATTTACTTTTTTGTTTGTTTTGCCGTTTGTGATAACAGCTGATAAATATTTGAATTTCTTAAATGTATTACCACAGATTATACAGATTATAATCTTTGTTTTTTCTTTATTGTTTTTCGTGGTTCCAATTTTCGGAATCGGGCACTAGTTAGGTGACTAGTTTGCGCACATAGCACGCCCACTTATGGCCTCTAAAATTGTGCACAGCGCCTGACCGGCACAGTTATTAGAGAGATATCGCAAAACCGAATAGCGGCATCCAGTATTTACGCGTACCTTATCATGGTTACGATATGCGCGTGTCAATTTTTAACGCAACACCCGCTAATAACGTTACCGCCTGACGTAATTTGCGGATCAATTACACCAAGCGCTCTTTCTAAATAACCTCTGATAACGTTTAAAAATTGCTTAATGGGCACAATTTATTTTAGGTTATGTTTGAATTGTTTTCATTATTGCTTTAGTTTTATTAGGTAATTTGATATTTAAGTAGCTGGGATTAGTTTTAATTAAATAAATATGGCCCAAAATATGGATTCCACCTCTTCCAATACTAAAGAACCTATAAAGAGTCTTAGGTTTACAGCAGATGACAACTTAGCCCTTCTAAGAGAATTTGTTGCTTGTTGCCCTAAACCCACTGGCACACGTTGAACAATAAAGCACTGGAAATAAGCACTTTAGCCCTTTAGTTTTAAAATATCTAGTAAACAAAACAATTTCAAAGTTTTAAATTCAAAGTTAGGTTAAGTTTAAATAGCGGACGCGACGCGATCAGAATTCTTTCCGATCCGATAACTATAAATGAAGAGAGTTAATACCACCTCACGTAAAGGAAATAACACCTGGCCTTATTAACGTCCATGCACGCTATACGGTTTAGCGATATCTCTCTATTACGCTGTTTATTGTTATTTTACGCGAGTTTATTTTTGCGCACAGGAAATTTGACTCGTTTGCACATCGTCATAAAAAACAATTTTGGTACCACGATATACTTATAGGATACCTAATCTGTGGTATTACCAACCAAATGAACAAAATCGAAATAGTTAATATAATCAAATAGCCAAGTTAATCATTTTGAATCGCTCCGTACATACCTTTTCCCCAGCCTCTGGTATCAATGAATGTGTCTTTGGGGTCGTCGTCGATATGCAAAATACTTTTATAAAAAGCCGGTCCAGAGTAATTTGCTTTGTAATCATCCCAACCCACTAATTTGTTTATCCATTCTCTCTTTAATTCAAGAGGTATTATTTTCCAGTCTGATACTGTTTCCGTATTTATTGTGACATTACCTGAAACATTTATTACTTAAATTATATTAGATATTTCTAGAAGTTGCAATAAGCTCCATATTTGGTTTTCGTTTAAATTTTGACTTTTTTTCTTAAAATTTACGTGCAAAGGTTACCTATATTTTTAAAATATAGATTTATTTACATAGCTATTATATATATTTTTTTTAAATCTATATTTATTAAATCTAAATCTATTTAATCTCTAAATCTTATTAAATCTAAATATAGATTTTTGGTGTACAACATTCTTAATGAGAAAAAATATTTTGATTGAGGTATTCAAAATTGTTCTGTTTCAGTGAAACTTTTTATTTTTGAATGAACTTCACATCGATATTTTTTTACATGATTCCATAGAAAATGACACTTCGAATAGAATGACATATCATATGTCAACTTTTGACATTTTCACATGTAGTTTATTTGAAATTGTAACATTCGGTTCATAACGACAATTTGACTTGAAATACCAAGTGTGTGGTACGAATTATTCGTATAAAATGCTTTTTCCAAATATCATCATAAGCCACCTTGGTTCCATTTGAAAAAAAAAAAATGCCTAACTCACCTTAGGTTTGATCAAGAACAGTTAACCTAATAGGACTGCTCATTCAGCCAAAAGTGTCCGCCACGTGCATGCGAAAACTCCTCGCTTTGTGACGTCATTGTAGTCCTTGTCATGGTTATTAGTCCTTATCCGGCAACCAATAATACACACACGTGCATTATTGGTTGCCGGATGCAAAACATACATTATTTAGTTTATTTATTTAAACACCTTATATGTATGCAGTATAGAAAATCAACTGTATAAATCGTATTAAATACTCGAATAATGCATTTTTAAGAACAGCAGTTCCCAGCATCACCTTTGGAGGCATTCTTTTTAGAGTACTGCCATATTTTGCTTTAAAATAATTAATAAACAATATCGTAGGCAATTAGTATGCACTTTGTCACAATCCACAACACAAAATGAACGTATTTATACACTCTATAGCTCTAAAAACCGCCGTTTTTTTTCGATCATACGGTATAATTTAGCATTCAATATGGAGATTTTTTAGAACAGAAGATCATTATTAATACATCTATATTATATTTTTTTTAACTAAATTTCTTTCATTACCTTGCCATAAACCTTTACGAGTTTGGTTATACTGAAAGTATTTTCCACCATTCATTCTACCCATTTCTTGCACAACAACGTCAATAGTTACATTATTTATAACTTCACTATTTAAAGTAATATTTGAATCCTTAAGTTTGGAAAATCCAAAACCATCAAAATCTGAAGCAAATTTTAGTTGCTTTGGACCTACCAGTTGTCCATTTACCAAAACCATAACATTATCACAGACATGTCCTAAAAATCAATTTTTATTTCATGATATTTAATATCGGCTTGTACATTATAATTACCTTCAATGGTCAAAACAGATGTAGCACTTAAATTAATATGTTCTTTTCTATAAACTATATATCCATTACTTTGCCCAGATCCATTGTTAATACCAAGTAATTCCATAGCTATCACATAATTGCTCTCAATTACTTCAGGAGAATTATATTCAATAACTTTACTAAAAGGTAAAAAATCATGAATTAAAGTACTATTGTACGCAATGGGCGCAACATGTTCTGGTTGATCTGGTAATATTGTTTTGACAGGATTAGCGGCAGTTACAAGTTCTTTAACTATTGTGTACTTGTTTCTGTAAGCTCCTTGTTCATCCAGAGGGGAGTCATAATCGTAGCTTGTAGTAATAGCTTTGAAGCCAGAATTATCAATCAAAGCATTTCCTGAAAATAATATAAATTAAACGTTAGGCTTAGGTTGTCATTATACTGCCACTAAATGACATAAAATCTACATATTTATATCGCTTTATTATATTTGTGTTTCTAATGAAATACATAACACTAGCCGTTTCCTGCATTTTTTTTTTCATTCGCGGTGAATGACTAGTTTGCTGTTCATTACTCGGTCACTTTCCCGTAACCAAACCCGTTGCAATCGGGCAAGCTTTATTTTATTTTCGGCTTTATGTACTAAGGGCTGGCAAAGGTTAGTCTTGGGTCGAGATTTCCGTATGTAAGAAGCGTACAATGCGTTTATAATGTACTGAACAAAGAGAGGACAGTAAACACGTTGCCAAACGTATGAAATAAACCGAGAAACTGTGCACATCGCTAAGAGACGTGGAAGGGTGTATAGCAGATTTGTCGCAGTTGACCGGTCGACCCAGGGGGGTGACAGTGAAATAGGAAAATTGGAAACAGTCATTACTGTCATTCCTGTCATTCTCCTCACGACAAGTATGGCCGCCTAGACAAGGACAGCATTGTTTTTGTCTAACTATTGTCTAACTTCACAGTTTAGAATTGACAGATTTCAGTTTCAGAGACAACTTCAGATTTGTTCTACAACAAATATTCGACGCCATTTTAATTCATTCCGTTTAGTTTTGTTTTGGAAGTTCAATTTAATATTTCCGCTGAAATTTATAAATATAAAGGTAATAAAGTATATAAAATATATATTACATGAAGAATCCTGGAGAAAATAACGTTTCTGCAGTAGTAGGTATGTCCCATGTATATGAATAATAGGTAGTAAATAAACACTGTTTTACATTTTTTAGATGCAAGAAAATGGTGTTATAATCTCTTTGATCGGCGATTTTTTTGAAAATGGAAACAATTTACAGCAAGGTAAGATCATTTTTAACTATAGCCAACATCATTTATCTCCAATATGTGCGATTTATTGTCAATAATGCAATAAATCGGACTGATAATCTGATTATGTTATCCGACTAAAAGTCTCTTTTTGCTTCTTTTTGATTTATAAGCCAGGTCTCTTTGGGAATAATGGACGCTTTTTTAAACAGTATATTTATATTTTATACCTATTGATATTTTTACATTGTTAATTTTAGTATAAAAAAATTTGTTTTTCTGTTTTCAGGTTTTTGTATAAGGCTCCCGTTTTCATGTCCCTGTGTCCGTTTTCTGTCCTTGAAGTCTGCGAATACGTGTGTTTATTTACAAATTACTGTAAGTCATGCTTATACCTTAACTAATTTACGTTAAAAGTACATATAATTAACTAATTGGTATTGAAACAATACAATCCTCTATATTTTTATATTTATTTAGTCACGTTGTTCCATATTTCAAATAAATATATGTGAATAAATTATTTTTTGGTTTTATTTATGAAAAGAAAAATAAATACATTTGAACTGAAAGAGGGCCCGCCATTGAATAACCGGAAACGGAAATGAAAATTAAGCCATCATATCCTTATCATGTCAACCTGTCAATTGGAAAATTAGTTCTCCAGACGACAACGAAGACTTTCGGTGGCGTATCGTGTTTCCACGATTTAACACAGAGTTGACACTTCTTTCTAGTTAATTACTTTATGGGTCGACCCAATCAATACCTCTGTCAGTACTTAAAGTTCTAGGAAAAGGTGTACGTCATGCGTTCAGCTTCACGATTTAATTACGTCTCGTGATACTTAATTTGTTTATTTATTAGTCGTTGTAATTTTCCCTATAGCTTGAATTTTTTTAAGCGCAAGCTAGAAACACTTGTATTTTTGGTAAAAATAAGTGGAATTGAGTGGGTGTTTGATAGTGGTCGCGCTATTAGAACTCTGAATTTAAAAATCGATATCTCGAAATCTATTAGAAATAATAGATTGTAGTTTTTTCAAGAACTTTGTCAATATTGCTGCTGTATTTTTTTTTGTAGACAGTATGTGAAAATCTTTATCAATAAAAAAATTACACGATTGCTGAAAATTGCTATGCTCGAAAAGTAAATGGATGGATTGTTTACAATTTTTGAATGGAAAAACCAACCTTATCTAATTTTTCTTATGTAAACATATTGTAAAATATCCGATCTTGAAAATAAAAAGTCTTCCAGTTCATTAATTTTGTCTTTACACTTCCATGTGCTTAATACCGTGCCTTTAGTTTCAAACATCTGGTTTATTAAGATCTGTTTCTAAGGAGCTTAACTTGTCAGTGGCTAGAACTGTCTATTATGCACTTTTTGAGTCGCACCTCAGGTATGCCCTTCCATTCTGGGGTACGTGTTGTGCGACTCAATTTGACCGCATTTTCAAGCTCCAGAAGAGAGCTGTTCGATATTCACTGGGACTAAACAGCAGAACTCATTGCCAGGACTTTTTTAAAAAATTAAAAATATTGACTCTTCCTTCCTTATTTATATTTGAATCCGTTTGCCTAATGCGTAAGCATGTATCAGCTTCTCAAGAAAGGTCATCTCACACTTATCCACTCAGGAACGCTGAGCAAGATCTTTATCTACCTACCCCACGCTCAGAGTTAGTTAAAAATTCGGTTTATTCTTTAAACGTTAAACTATAGGGCTGTCCACAGAGTGAGCTGCGAACTTATCTAACACAGCGCGTATACTATATCTAGCAAAATATCGTTTAACTATCGTAACTTTTTCAAAAGTTGTGAAATTAGAGACTAGAAATTACAATAAATCCTTACCGAGAGATGCTCCATTGTTGAAAGCAAAATTGGTACCACCATGGAACATATAGATGTTAAATGAAGCGTTTCTAGCTAAAATGTCTGTTAGAACACCTTTTATAGTCGAATCAGTTTTTCCGGTATGATTAGCTCCCCAAAAATCAAACCAGCCTATCCAAAATTCCATCACCATCAATGGTTTTCCAGGTTGCAACTCTTCGAGTTTGTCCAACTGCTTATTTACAGATCCACCAAGATTCGCTGTTTGGAGAAGTACACCAGGCAATGTTCCTTAAAAGTAATTTAATTTAAAATATTAAAAACAAGGTATATACAGCACATCTATCCATTCTATAGTTACCAAATCAGTGTTTTCATTTTTTTTAAGTTGTTCCACGTAAATGACTACTTTACTGATAAAGACAAATTTGCAAGTAGCCAATGTAATGAGTGGGTGGAGTATGTTCGCGTTGACATACATGTCAAGTCCACATGGACTCTCTGTTGCGTGTATACTGCCGTCGGTAGTTAAAAGGCGGCAAGTGCATTTTTTTCAATTTTGAGATTTTTGCATTTTCAGACTAATGTGACCCTACTCTAAATATTCAAAAATATTTTTGAAAAATATTTTTTTTCAACGATTTTTGAATTCTGAATTCCACGCTGTGTTCGTCATAATGTGGATCAACCTGCTCTCACTACCGGTTTCGGGGCCCTACCCCATCATCAGGTGAGCTTGGTTATTTCCACAAAACGACGAGCACAGCGCAGAATATATAAATACGACTTGTCGTAAAGTAGCGGTAAGATATTAAGTTCCGCATCGCGAGATAGCGGCCTGCGTGCAATGGTAGTACTTTCGTACCACTGAGGCACAACTATCGATAGTAAATAAAGGCTTTTTTCGGCTAGCCCAAAAAAATATATAATGGAAAATAAATTTCTTGCAGTTTTTAGGTATATAATAAAATTATATAAGAGTTTCTTGCCTTGACGAACACAGCGTGGAATTCATTTCTATATTAGCAGTTGAAGGCAAGAAACTCTTATATAATTTTATTATATACCTAAAAACTGCAAGAAATTTATTTTCCATTATTTTTTTTTTCTTAGTTTTCACTTTTATGATATGTGATACGCCACGAAAGTTATGATTACGATCTCAAAAGTTTCGCTATCACCGGTCAAGTATGTCTCATTGAATATAAAGTTACCCTTTGAACCATGTGATAATGGACTATCGGAAGTAACCAAAAGTTCCACAATTCCATTATTCAGAAATAACTGCCGTAATTGTTCCAAATAAGCTTTTTCTGGAAGAAAATTTTGATACTCCTGATTTCCGTATTCATTTTCTACTTGGAATGCTATTACAGGACCACCTTTAGTGAATTGGAATGCTGCTAGTAGTGTTAGTAACACATTAAAATATCTAAAACAAAATAATAAAAATATATAAATTAATAATTACATATTTATATTATTTTAATGTTTTTATATAGTATCCGTATTAAGAGCTATTATTTTTGCAACACTTTTAAGTCAAATTAATCATAACCTTAAGAAATCCAAGATTAAAGCAATTTTCGTTCTTTCGGTAATGAAATATGTTTTTACATATCGTAATGTAATACCATGCTCTCCCCCCCCCCCCATGGTTACTAGTGGCAGATATTTTTTTTGATTTAAACCATATTGACTATAAAATTATACCGGGTGTTGCATCGTCGAGCGGGACATAGGAAATCCCATGTAAATTTTAATCGGGTCAATTATTGGCTTCCCTAATTATTTTAGAGAATAATTCTATTTAGGTTTATTGAAGAGCACTAAAACCCACATTCAAAAGAATAACTTTAGATATTTTTGATTAGCCCGTTTACGAGTTATCGCCGATTTCTTTTTAAATATTTCTCCTTTCTTATGGCCCTGTATTTACTTATAAGCACCAGTCAAGGTAAAAGATAATTGTCAAATGAAGTTGTAACTTTAGAAATTTATCTATTTAGTGCTTTATTATTATTATTAAAAACTCATACCTACATCGAAAATATTAGCCATGAATTACACTACCGAAGAAAAAATATTAATGATATGGATATGGTATTATCAAGGAAATAGTTATCAAAAGGTGTCGGACATGTATGCTGCTCTGTATCCGAATAGACCGATACCTGGAAAATCTGCAATCGCAAGGAATATCCAGAGATTTGAAACCAAAGGTACCCTAATAAATAACTGCAGATGTGAAGCAAGGTAGGAACAAAGAGAAGATGCGAATGATACCGACTTGGAAGTTTTATTGTGCGTGGAAGAGAACGATGGAAAGATCCGCACAGGGAAACTTGAGGATGAAATAGGAATAGATCACACTACGGCGTTTCGAATTTTGAAACGACATAAATACTATTCCTTCAAATATGAAAAGCACCAAGAGCTACGAGATGGGGACGAAATACGGCGGCAGGCGTTTTGTTTTGATATGATGGAAAGAGCAAATAGGGATAGGGAATCTTTAAAAAACATATGTTTTACTGACGAATGCACGTTTACCTTAAATAATGATCCCAATATTCAAAATTATCGATATTGGAACAAAGAAAACCAACACAGGTTTGTCGAAACAAGGACGCAATATCCACAGAAAGTAAATGTTTGGGCAGGGATATTCGGACAGAATATTATCGGACCATTATTTCTTACGCGAAATTTAAATGCAGAATATTATTTGGAACTACTCGAAAATCATATTTTACCTGCTTTACATGATGCCGCTATGCGCTAGGGAAAATCAGGAAGTTTGGTACCAAATGGATGGCTGTCCGGCACATAGTACCCTGACTGTTCGGGAATATTTAGACATTTTTTTTTATTTTTTCGGGAAACGTTATTGGCCTAAATCATACAGTAAATTGCCAGCTAGGTCTCCTGATATTTCGCCAAATAATTTCTTTCTCTGGGGCCTTTTAAAAAACAGGATATACAAGGATAAAAAATACCCAAATCTAGACGAGTTAAAAAATGCCATTTCTGCCGAATGCAATAGAATTTCAGTTTACCAACTAGCGAATGTAAGAAGAGAATTTTATGATCGCCTGTGTTATTATCTAGCAGTCGATGGAGGAATATTTGAACATCTTAAATCCTAAAGTTCTAACAATTTAATAGTACCTAAATTAATAAGTTATTGAATATTGTAATAATACTATAATTAACCTTGTAATTGATTACTTTATTTTATTTTAATTCATATTAATTTGTATTTATAAATACTTCTTAATCTTTAAGATTTCCGATGTAGGAATGAGTTTTCAATAATAATAAAGCACTAAATAGGTAAATTTCTGAAATGACAACTTCATTTGACAGTTATCTTTTACCTTGACTGGTGCTCATAAGTAAATACAGGGCCATAAGAAAGGAGAAATATTTAAAAAGAAATCGGCCATAACTGGTAAACGAGCTAATCAAAAATAAAAAAAGTCAATAATTGACCCCATTAAAATTTACATGGGATTTCCTATGTGCCGTCCGACGATGCAACACCTGGTATATAATTATTATATTCCAGCTACAAAAAAAAATATAAAATATACAACTAGTATATTTTAATTATATACTAGTATAAAACTAGTATACCTTGTAACAAATTTGATGTAAGTTGGTTCACTTGTTCTGAAACCCATTGTTTCTTCCCTCAACAGCCAACTAGGAAAACCGCCAAAATTGTACTCAGAACAAATGTACGGTCCAGTTCTCAATATTACGAATAAGTCTTCTTCCTTAGCAGTGTTCAAGAACTCTTCCAAATGAAGAAAATCTTCCATTTCAGAACCACCGTTGCCAAAATCATATTTGCCTAAATATATAAAATAATTTTAACATTGGCATAAAAATCGCTATCATTTACCTGATTCGTTCTAATGAGAAATATTAATACCACATTAATACTCTCCGTAAATAAATACTGGTAATAAGGATTAAAGACATTTTTAAAGAAATTATTTAAACCACTACCACAAATTAACTACAACAGATGCGAAAGAACACCGAATTACGCGTTCAGGTTTCTGTGACCTTCAGAAAGAGTTCATAGACAATCCGCATCAATGTACAGTTTGGGTTATTATTTGTTTGGGTGAAAATAATCTGCACCAATATGTTATCGAGGCATACAAAAAGGTCCACAGACTTCGAGACATACGAAAAATCAAGTCCATTTAGCGTGTGTCGCAATTTTCACACTTTAAAAAATTAGTTTTTTATAGCTATAGCAACTGCAGCGACTATGAAAAAAGCTGTGTGATTTTTCATAGAAAATAAGGGCACCTGTAATTCATTTGAGAATGTTATAAATCGCTAAAAGAGGTTTCAAATCTCTTGGACTTCTATTAATATTAAATAAATTTTATTAAAAATTGAATTAAAATTGTTAGTATCATTAAAAACAATTCAAATTCAAAAATTGTATCAGTCAAATTCCCTCATTTAAGGTGAATATTAAAGTAAATATAAATACAGTTCATTCTAAGCTCTACTTATCTTTAAGAAAAATTTAAAATTGTTGCAATTGGGCTTTAATGCCATTTCGAATGAACAATAGTATTAATAATGTACATTATAATAATAATAAATTTAAAACTACTAAAACACTTTTAAATTGGTATTATATTAACAATTTTTGTTTTTTAATCCAAAAAAAGTTACCAATTTTCTCAATCAAAATATTTGTGGTCCTGAAAAGGACCTTCGTTTTTCCATGTTCGTCAAGGTAGGTAATGGGTAAACGGTAAAAAAACAGGATAATGAAATTTAAAAAATTACAAAAATTGTTCAAAAGTGCCTCCCTCTTGCATTAAACAATAACCCAAACGATCATAAAATCCCCTCCTCACATTGGATAACATATCAGGGGTGACAGTGTCAAAGGCATTAAATATTTTCTGCCTTAACTGCTCCAAGTTTTAATTTCTTCATGGCCGTAAATTTTAGATTGTATGTACTCCCATAAAATCATTCACCGAGAAGTCAGGCGAAATTAAATGTCAGTCTAAACAAAACTGTAATTTTTGAAAACTTGTCAAAATTTGGACACACGCTAACTGGACTTGATTTTCCTATGTCTCGAAGTCTGTGGACTTTTCTGTATAATCTCACAGTAATTTAATAGATTGCTCGTCATATTATATCAGCTCGTAGGAGATTAGGAAAAAAAAAGATATTTATAGTTTAAAAAATAATTTATTTAACAAAATTTAATTAAAGACGTGACAAAATAGTTACATTTCTATTGGTTCTATCGGACTTTTTTCGACTGTATAAATCTTTATTTTTTGTACTAACTTTAATGCATAAAATATTTTCAATCTAATAAATAATTTAATGATGTAAATAAGAGGAAATTTCTCACATGGGTGGTCAAATTCTATAGTTTTCATTATATCAAACAGCCTCTGAATGTTTTATTCAGTGCAAAACTCATCAAAATTTAATATAAATAATTTTTCCAGCCCGTCAAAAAAAAATGAACAAATTTTTCCACTTTCATGATCAAAGGCTTTTAAATGGGTAAATAATTTCGAGTTATCCAGAGATTCGGATTCTTTTGCAAATTTTAGACAAATATCACATTGATGTATTTGAAGACCCTTTTTAATGATGTAGTCAAACATAATTAAAGGCATTTTGAGTTGAAATCTTTTCTCAGAGGCTGTTTGATATAATGAAAACTATAAAATTTGACCACCCATGTGAGAAATTTCCTCTTATTTACATCATTAAATGATTTATTAGATTGAAAATATTTGATGTATTAAAGTTTCAAATAAAGATTTATATAGTCGAAAAAGTCCGATAGAACCAATAGAAAGGTAACTATTTTGTCACATTTTTAATAAAATTTTGTTAAATAAATTAATTTTTTATACTATAAATATCTTTTTTTTCCTTATAAATAAACACATTTGCATCCCATTTTAAATAAGATATACAAATTACCAATACTTAGAAATAACAGTTCAAAAGTTCAACAAAAATCCTACACGCGTTTTTAAAAAGAAACATATAACCACGCACTATGTCATTCCAGCAAGCGAATACGACACAGCATAGGTTTCCGGACTAAACGACTGGTGTATTTACACCACTCAATAGGCGTGTCGGGTTTGCCGAGCGGTTTCCGATGCAGTCGCTTTCTTTCGCATCTGCTATTGATTCAAAGCTAATAATAAAGCATTATGTAGCATTATTAAGATTTATACTATAGAAAATGGCATAGAGAAATAAACAATTTTAAAATTTATTTACAAAATGTATTTTTACCAATTTTACAAGTCAGCTGCACATTTGTATTTCCACATCTATATTTGCTATTAGATAGGTGTCATCATTTATTGAAATGTATTCAATTCTTTCAGTACATTGTGAAATGAATATAACACCAAACCTGATTTTTGCCATTTATTTGAATAATAGGTCTTCACCTATTATGTGTTAAGTGGAAAATACAAATATGCATGATCGGACACAGTATGTTTTATAAAAAAACGAAAAATTGAACAATTAAGTTTAGAGACCGAACGAGTATTGTAAAAAATGAGTCTTTCTAAAAACTGGTCTAGTTCATACCTGATTCTGGTTCATGTAGGTTCCACGGAACATAAGTCTCTACAGTATTTAATCCAGCAGCTCTTATTTTCTTTAAGCGATCTCTCCAATATGGTCTGGGTACTCTAAAATAATGCATAGCCCCACTGTAGATTCTCACGAGCCTGTCATTTAAAGTAAAATAAGTTTGATCAGCATTTAGGCCTTGTTTAATACCTCCCCCTGTATAATATTCGTAATTTGTTGGTAAAGCATCTGATCCTAACGATAATCCAGAACTCAAAGCCATTGTGATCTTCAATAAGTCTTCGTTACTACTAAAACTATTTCTAAAATATGTTTTTATTTATGTTAAAAAAAAGAGGAAAACAAACAACTTGAAACTTATCTTAAAGTATATGTTATTTAATTCAAGTGTCATTCACTTAGTGGAAACTATTTTGTAAAGAATTATTAATATGTAATATCGCAAGGAGAATGGTACTTTAAAGCATCTGACTGATAACGCAAAAGTGCACGTCAATAACGTTTAAAATTTACAAATTTATAGTTCATTAAATTGATAATTAAAAATAAAACAATTTTTATAAACAAGCCTTTTCTACTTGAACAAAAAAAAATCTAAGGAATTTTGACATATATCCAAAATAAAATAGAGCTATTTGGATCCTGAGGTAACTTTGTCACCCTATTTTGTTTAGTTTAGTTTGGAGACCTAATTAACTAACTGAAGCATGAGAACATACAAAAAAACTAGACCTTACAATAGCCTTAGAGCTCACGACATATTTAGAGAACATATATTTTAGGCAAGCTAGAATAACTTAAAATGTATAGTTTATTAACTGGTGACCCAGAATCCTAAGTCTGGTTGGGGGGTTGGGGGTATTTTGCTACTGCGCAACCCATAACATTTGCAAAAAAATAAATCCAAAAAACATTCTTTAGGCAACTTGAAATTTATTTATTCTTAAATTTTAGCATCTATTTAACCTAGAAATAAGTATGCCAGACTTTTTTTTCGGGTTTAAAGTGTAACCCGACCATTCCAAATATGTTTAATTATTATACCTGGAAAACATACTTTAGGCATTCTAAAATTTTTACAGCGTGTTTATTAGATGATATTAAAAAATATTTGTTAATTGCCAGACGAATTCAATGGGATTTAATACTTGCCTGACGCGAATAAAGATTTTAAATGAGCGCGATAAGAAAGTCTTATGAGTATCTATAAGCGCGAGAAATATAGTTTATTGAGACCCGTCGGCAGCCGATGCGGCTGACGTAACAGCATTTTCGTAAAAATTTAAAAAAACTAATTAATGTTGAATAAATAAAAAAAACATTTTTTAATAAAAATGTATGATTGAAATCCTTTCAATAAGAAGACTTTTTAATTTAAGTATTTTGTATCTGAAAGAATAAAAAAACGAATAATTATTTAAAAATTAGCATAATATAAAATATATTTTTTTCAAACGTCACAAAAGTATATAATTATTATTATACTTTTGTGACATATTATATTATTATTAATTTTTGCGACCTGATTGACAATATAAAAAAGTCATTTTAACGCATAACATGGGCGCCGGAGAGGGGGGGGGGCAAGAGGGGGCATTTGCCCCCCCCTGGACCACTGAAACAGTAAAAATAAAAGCTATCTTTTTACATTCATCTGTAAAAAAATAATCATTATTATGAAATTTTTAGGTGTTACCTGTAAAATAATAAAAATGTGTTGCAATTTTTTATTCATTTTTACCTTGCCCCCCCCCTAAATTTCATTCTTCCGGCGCCCATGACGCATAAGCATAAAAGTAAAGCACTTTTACTTACTTTTGAATCTATTTAGAAAGATTAACAATGGTACTGTAATAAAATTCCAGAATACATACTTATTTTTTTAGCACTGTGCATGGTACCCTTTTGTCAGGACTACGTTTTCTGGTAAAACCACTTCTTTAAATTTTAAACCATGTTGTTGGCGCACTTTTAAAAATTCTTTGCATTTTTGGTAGTCTGCCTTCATCAAAAACAATAACTTTGTCGCTAGCTTTTTTACAAACTACACAACTTATTAAATGTTTTTTATCCATTGTGATTTAGTAGTTAGTAGCGAAATTAGTAGTTACTAAAATATTTATTTGCAGTAATTATTCTAAACTATATTTACACTATGCACATCAATATTTAATTTATAAATACATATTTGTACATTGTAACTTAATTCCAACAAAATAATCTCTGAATTAAAAGCGAAAACCGAAAAAAAATTGTTTTTATGAAAATTTGAAGTACTCCAAAATACTGTTACGTCAGCCGCATCGGCTGCCGACGGGTCTCAATAAACTATCTTTTTCGCGCTTATAGATACTCATAAGACTTTTTTGTCGCGCTCATTTAAAATCTTTATTCGCGTCAGGCAAGTATTAAAACCCGTTGAATTTGTCTGGCAATTAACACATATTTTTTAATATCATCTAATAAACACGCTGTAAAAATTTTAGAATGCCTAAAGTATGTTTTCCAAGTATAATAATTAAACATATTTGGAATGGTAGGGTTACATTTTAAACCCGAAAAAAAGCCTGGCATACTTATTTCTAGGTTAAATAGATGCTAAAATTTTAGAATAAACAAATTTCAAGTTGCCTAAAAAACGTTTTTTGGATTTATTTTTTTGCAAATGTTATGGGTTGCGCAGTAGCGAAATACCCCTAACCCCCCAGCCAGACTTAGGATTCTGGGTTCACAAGTTATTAAACTTTATTTTTTTTGTTATTCTAACTTGCCTAAAATATGTTCTCTAAATATGTCGCCAGCTCTCCGGCTACAACTACAACCAAAAAATTGGAATAAGCAGAATAGGCCATTCAAAGCGGTATGAGCAACAAACTAGATAACCATAGCTATACAATGCCACAGAGTACCCTATTCAATAAATACATTGGAAGACACAAGGAAACATTTGAACAACCAATTGTTATATTTATAATAAAAGAAAACCACCTTGGGGATGATATGGTTAGTGCCCAATTTAGGGCTATCATCCAACGGAGCTATATGTAAGGCCCAAAGACATTATAAAGATAGACCGAACATATCATTCATAAATACTCGTTGGTAGTGTATCAAACATTCCAATGTGTCAAACAAAGACAGAAGAGACAGAGAAGTCTAAAATTTCCGACCCCGGCAACTAGGCGCATTTGGATTGTTCTAATGGTCAGTGGCGTATCGTTTTTGGAACGAATTTAATTAGTAAAGTAAAAAGTAAAAGTAATTAGTAATTTTTTACTCCATATTAATATACTACATTAACACTTTTTCGTTAGATGAGTTTTGTTATAAGGTCTAATATAATAATATAATTAATATCCCACATATACTTATGTTGAAACGTTAGTAGATAGTTTTCGAAAATCGCTCCAACGTCGATATTCAATTTAAACTTTCAGTTACTTCTATATAAACTTTCAGTTACTTTTGAATATTTACAGGGTGACTCAGGCTTCCCAAACAGTTCTATATTAGGTTTGTGGTTGGTATATTTTTTTTTTTAGGTTCACTTTAACATGTGTTGTTTCTCATGTGTCTCCCTTGTAGAAACGTAATTTCATTTGGACGTGCTATATGGGGCTGGTCAAGTTTGCCCCCGTATCGGACAAAACTCAAAAATAGATATACCATAAACGATATTTTACACACTTACCTGAGTGCAATGTGAAAACGGCTCTGAGTAGCAAACTTTACCGTTCCCGTCGATTCGGCTAATTTTGCGCAATTTTGCAGACTTATTTTTAAATTTTGTACCCCTTCTAATGAAAGTTATATGGGGTTGAAATTTTAGAATTTCCCCCCACCTGTCACGAAACTGAATTTTGCTGGTTCCTTTAATAAAAAGAATCGGCTAATTTTGATTTTTTGATTGAACACCAATTTTTTGATTTTGCACAACCTCCTCAGGAAAGTTATGAAGATTTGAAAATTTGAATTTCTCATTGTTACCTCCATCTCTGTTTTTTAGAAAAATAAAAATTGAAATATTCTGATGTGAAGAACATAAAACCCCATGCCTGTAATAATCAGGCGTACTATCGACTAGATGATTGACGAGAAAATGTTGAAGGTAGTGGGGTTGCAGTCGGACTGCAGCCCCACATTAATAAACTGCAGCACTATGGGTTCAGGGGAACATCTCTCGAATGGTTTAAGTCGTATCTGAGCAATAGAAGTCAACTTGTGAGGATGGATACCACGTTGTCCTCTATAGTCTGTGAAACGAATAACTTTGAATTTGACAGTTCCCGCGGGCTTTTCTAGTGTTAATTTTATTAGGTTAGCAACTTGCGGCCATGCTGACGCAATGCCGTCTCTAATAGAACAGCCTCGAAGCCGGATTTATGACATCAGGATAGTTAAATACTACGGATTAATAAATATGTTGTAGAATACATGGAAAACATAATAATTCCTCGTATTTTTGGTTTGTTTTTTAAAAATGATATAGTTTACATGAAATATACATAGCCACAGTTAATAAATACAATATATATATATATATATATATATATATATATATATATATATATATATATATATATATATATATATATATATATATATATAGCAATATAGCATACCTATTTATAGTAATAAATAACTTTCATAAAATAAAACCAAATAAACTTATGAACCATACAAATGCAGCAAATGTTTTACAATATACAAATAATGAATAGGTACATAAGATAATGGGCAAAATGTAAAATATATTTTAAATTTTGAGGTTTGAAAATCAATCTAATTTAACAAACAACATTCAATATCTACTACTTACTATGGCTGAAATCGTATTCCATAGTCCATGTAGATAGTTTTAGTGTTAAGAATAATAATTTAAAAAAATACATTGTCATCTTTTGACAAGTTTATATTAGTTTATTAATTGCAGTAAACATTATGTGGTGTGAATATTTTATATGTAATTTTTGATTTATATTCGACACTATTTTTTTTTTCATATGACACAACACTGATGAAGGCTATGATGTTAGCCGAAACGTTTTTTTTTAACCAAAAAAATAATGAAACAAATGAAAACTTAATCAGCGTTTTTCCCGAACCTAAATCCCAAGAAAATAAAAAATTTTAGAATAATTTTATGATAAAAATCACAGCGATCTTTATTTCATAGCCATCGCTGCAGCCTTTTTTCTATGATATTGTATTATTTGCAAATATAATTTTTCGAACATTGATACTTGCAAAATATACATATACATTTTGTGAATGCAAATAATAATACATCACTATTAGTAGATATTGAATGTTTTTTGTTAAATTAGATAGATTTTCAAACCCCAAAATTTAAAATATATTTTACATTTTACCCATTATCTTATGTACCTAGTCATTATTTGTATATTGTAAAACATTTGCTGCATTTGTATGGTTCATAATTTATTTGCCAAAGTTATTTATTACTATAAATAGGTATATATATATATATATATATATTGTATTTATTAACTGTATATTATGTATATTTCATGTAAACTATATCATTTTTAAAATACAAACCAAAAATACGAGGAATTATTATGTTTTCCATGTATTCTACAACATATTTATTAATCCGTAGTATCTAACTAGCGTGACGTCATAAATCTCGCTCCGAGGCTGTTCTATTAGAGACGGCATTGGTCTGATATTTTAGAAATGTCAAAGCTGATGACATTTACTTTTTTGACAATTGTGTTGATTTTTTTAAGAAGAGGAAGAACTGTCACTTGTTTTATTATTTTCCTTTTCTATTTCACGAAAGTAAAAAGAGTTACATATCTGATTCGTTCAGGCACTCAATTTAAAGAATATCAGTAATTTTTTTGATAGAGGAATTTTATATTTACCATGTTGGTAAAAAATAACGGTCAAAATTCAAAGTTATTCATTTTATAGACTATAGCAAGCCAATAGAATGTGGAGTACCCCAAGGCTCAGTACTAGGCCCTATTTTGTTTCTTATTTTTATTAACGACATTGCTAACATAAACATCACTGGCAAAATATGTCTTTTTGTAGATGACACTAGCTTCACTTGGAGCAACAAGGACGTCACGGCACTTCATATGATTATATCAAATGACTTAATCACAGAATAGATATCAACCAGAAACCTAACTGGAGCTGAAATCCGTGACGTTTTACGAATTGGGCCGCCATTTAATAGCGGTAGAACACAGAGACGTATTTAATAAATTTCCGTTGAATGTATACAGAGTTGTATTTATTTTTTTGTTGTAAATTGAAAAGTATAGAATTAATTAATATCATTCGGCAGTTAATAAAACTACTGCTTAAAACTTTAATAGGTGAGTTTGTTAAAGTTAAAAGTAAAGGCTAATTTGTTTAAGATGCTGTAATATTGGTTTAGTACAAATGTCCCAACAATTTTTATGGAGTAATATTTTTAATGTAAAACTTATTGCCAGCGATAAAAAACACTGCATTAGTAAACCATTAGAGATATCGCGGTATAAAAATAGTTTATATTTTTAAACGATTTGATTTAACTTTACCATACCTTTGTTTGTTGCAAATCTGGCAGCAGCTTTATCGATCACTTCTATTATCCCAATTTTTCCGAAATGCTCACGTATTGAGTTCCGGTGACACTTTATAATATTTTTGAAGAAAAAAAAAATCAAATTAGTGGATCCAATATGGCGGATTTTTTAATATAAGAAGAGATTTGCTTGAAATTTAAAACTTTGGGTTCTTTATAAGGACACTTGAGATACTTACCTTCAATTGGCCCGTTTTAAAACATTCTGTAAAGATAGGGTAGGTGTTCATTTAAGTTTCAAACGAAATAAATAAACAAGCTAACATCAGAATACTTAGGTATTTATTCATGCCTCCATATAATTAGTTTGTTTTTATTGGCTGTTTTAAAATTAAGGTTTATCTTTTTTAATGTATAATACAATTTCATAAGCAGATATAATTTAGTTACATATTTTAGGGGAAAAATAGTAGATGGATTTTTGAAATTAATTTGTTTGCATATTATATATATTTCTTTAATAAAATGTCTTGTCCCATATTCTTCGTAATATTTACTAAAAACAAGTTCTAATGAAGAAACAAAAGATACAAAATTGTCATGTGACATCTGAAGATTGCCAAAAATATCTAAATTATTATCTTCACTCTTTATTATTTTCATAGGCACGTAAATGGCAAAACAACGATGTATAATCTAACTCACTGTGTGCCTTTGCATATTTGGTACATATATCACATGAATGTATACTCAAACATTTTTTTATTAAATATCCACAAACGTATCGTAAAACATTTTGCGTCCTGGCGAAACATAACTCCGGCTTTTGCACATTCTTGAGGCACAAACTGAACCAGTACTCTTTGAAATTATTATAAATAATGTACCTAGCACAACAAATATTTAATAACTATTCCAGACTATTCGCTCCGTTCAGTTATAAAACAACACAAACTACAATATTCAATATTTACGAATGACGAACAGCTACTGCTCTCAGCAAAACGCAAAACATAAGTGAACTGCGAACGCCAGTGCGTTGACAGGTTCTACCGCTATTTTTAGGTTAGGCGATGTTTCCCGCGCAAACTCTAAGTTAGGCTTCTGGTTGATATCTATTCTTGTGACTTAATCACCATTAAATCTTGGTGTGATTCGAACCTCCTGAGTCTCAACATTTCAAAATAAAGCTTTGTCGTATAAAAACTCGCTGCAGCCTTTTGTAATTAACAACTTAACTTAACTTGTATGATGTTTTATATTCTCTTCTCTCTTTTGTTTGTTTGTTTACTTACTTTGTTTGTTTACTTTACCTTTGTCTACAAATTGTAAATTTTTTTGACAATATAGGCATATATTTATTTATTTAAATATTACCATTTCATTAAGGAACACTCCGTATAACACATTTTAATCGCTCTAGTGTTATCAATGAAAATATTCGTATATTATGTTCTAAAATTACCAGCATAATTTATAAGAAAGATTGAGAAAAAGTGTGTTAAATAGATAATTTGTTGTGGAACTTTCTGAAAAATTTCTGTATTTTGAAGCATTTGTGGGATATGTTGTGAATTATTTATAATTATTTGTCTTTATTACACATAATAAAAAAATCATATTTCCAGAGGTAATTATATTATATTTAATATACAATTTCATATATCTGTTGATCGGTATAAATCACTTTTCCATCAGCGGGTGCATAGAAATGTTCAAAAAACGTGATTTCATTGTCTCCTTTTTTTAAAAATGGCCCTGGTAGATATAGAGTTTGCTGTGGTCCTATAGCGTTGTAACGTCCCAAGGCAAATCCATTCACAAATACTATACCTACACAAAAAGATTCAAAAATGTATTATTTATCTTTCTCTAAAACTGTGGTAGCAAAATTTAGTTATAGTCTATAAAATGAATAACTTTGAATTTTGACCGTTATTTTTTACCAACATAGCAAATATAAAAGCCCTCTATCCAAAAAGTTACTGATATTCTTTAAAATGAGTGCCTGAACGAATCAGATAGGTAACTCTTTTTACTTTCGTGAAATAGAAAAGGAAAATAATAAAACAAGTGACAGGTCTTCCTCTTCTTGTAAAAATCAACGCGAAATGTCATAATTGACAAAAGTAAAATGTCATCAGCCTTTGACATTTCTAAATATCAGATCAATGCCGTCTCTAATAGAACAGCATTGGAGCGAGATTTATGACGTCACGCTAGTTAGATACCACGGATTAATAAATATGTTGTAGAATACACGGAAAACATAATTATTCCTCGTATTTTTGGTTTGTATTTTAAAAATGATATAGTTTACATGAACTATACATAATATACAGTTAATAAATACAATATATATACCTATTTATAGTAATAAATACTTTGGCAAATAAACTATGAACCATACAAATGCATCAAATGTTTTACAATATACATATATATATATATATATATGTATATATATATATATATATATATATATATATATATATATATATATATATATATATATATATATATATATATATGTGATGTATTATTATTTGCATTCACAAAATTTATACGTATATTTTGCAAGCATCAATGTGCGAAAAATTATATTTGCAAATAATACCATATCATAGAAAAAAAGGCGTCAGCGATAGCTATGAAATAAACATCGCTGTTATTTTATATGTAAAATTATTCTAAAATTTTTGATTTTTTGGGATTTAGGTTCGGGAAAAACGCTGATTAAGTTTTCATTTGGTTTTTCATTATTTTTTTTTGGTTAAAAAAACGTTATAGGTAACGTTTATAGCCTTCATCAATGTTGTGTCATATGAAAAAAATAGTGTCGAATATAATCCAAAAAATTACATATACGAGGAATGTTTTCCATGTATTACAACATAATTAATCCGTAGTATCTAACTAGCGTGACGTCAGAAATCTCGCTCCGAGGCTGTTCTATTAGAGACGGCATTGCGTCAGCATGGCCGCAAGTTGCTAACCTAATAAAATTAACACTAGAAAAGCCCGCGGGAACTGTCAAATTCAAAGTTATTCGTTTCACAGACTATACAAATTATTTTCTTATTAAGTTTAACGAATTATTATTTTGACTAATAATATGTATTTTTTTTGTTTTAATACCTTCTCCCTCGTTGTACACTTTTGTGGCGTGCCTAAAACTCATTCTTAGTGTGGGATTATGATAGGAAAAAAACATTATAAATATACTCGTATATAAAATTTAGAAAATTGTTCAAATTAAATAAAATACTAATGAAATAAATAACATGGTATATCTTGCATTAAAATTAACGAAAATTCTAGAATAAAGGACATAGTAATGGCTACATTATTTATTTAAATATGTTTAAAATTTAAACCCCATATCGTAATTTATATTATTTCTTAAGTAAACATCATACATATAGTCTATAAAATGAATAACTTTGAATTTTGACCGTTATTTTTTACCAACATGGCAAATATAAAATCCCTCTGTCAAAAAAGTTACTGATATTCTTTAAATCGAGTGCCTGAACGAATCAGATAGGTAACTCTTTTTACTTTCACGAAATAGAAAAGGAAAATATTAAAACAAGTGACAGTTCTTCCTCTTCTTGCAAAAATCAACACGAAATGTCATAATTTTCAAAAGTAAAATGTCATCAGCTTTAGACATTTCTAAATATCAGACCAATGCTGTCTCTAATAGAACAGCCTCGGAGCGAGTTTTATGACGTCACGCTAGTTAGATACTACGGATTAATTATTATGTTGTAGAATACATGGAAAACATTAAATATTATACACTTAAACTATCTACATTGGCTATGGAGTACGATTTCAGTCATAGTCAATGTAGATAGTTTTAGAGCTAAGAATAATAATTTTAAAAAATATGTGGCCATCTTTTGACAAGTTTATATTAATGTATTAATTGCAGTAAATACTATGTGGTGTTAGGTTAGGTTGTGAATGTAATTTTTTGGATTATATTCGACACTATTTTTTTCATATGACAGAACACTGATGAAGGCTATAATGTTAGCCGAAACGTTTTTTTTAAACCAAAAAAATAATGAAAAAACCAAATGAAAACTTAATCAGCGTTTTTCCCGAACCTAAATCTCAAGAAAATGAAAAATTTTAGAATAATTTTACATATAAAATGACAGCGATTTTTATTTCATAGCCATCGCTGACGCCTTTTTTTCTATGATATTGTATTATTGGCAAATATAATTTTTTGAACATTGATATTTGCAAAAGATATATATACATTTTGTGAATGCAAATAATAATACATCACTATTAGTAGATATTGAATGTTTTTTGTTAAATTAGATCGATTTTCAAACCCCAAAATTTAAAATATATTTTACATTTTACCCATTATCTTATGTACCTATTCATTATTTGTATATCGTAAAACATTTGCTGTATTTGTATGGTTCATAGTACATTTGCCAAAGTATTTATTACTATAAATAGGTATATACATATTGTATTTATTAACTGTATGTTATGTATATTTTATGGAAACTTTATAATTTTTAAAATACAAACCTAAAATACGAGGAATAATTATTATGTTTTCCATGTATTCTACAACATATTTATTAATCCGTAGTATCTAACTAGCGTGACATCATAAATCTGGCTCCAAGGCTGTTCTATTAGAGACGGCATTGCGTCAGCATGGCCGCAAGTTGCTAACCTAATAAAATTAACACTAGAAAAGCCCGCGGGAACTGTCAAATTCAAAGTTATTCGTTTCACAGACTATATCTCGTGTTTCCTCACTTGCGAACATACTATTTACTGTCAATACATTTTACACTATCTACTATAAATTTTTGTATCTCTAGTTTGACACTTAATAGAGTAAACAAAAATTCACTGGATGTCATATAAAGTGTCAACTGGACTTCCAAGGTAGACTTGATCTTAGGCGAATTTTCAAAAAATATATTTTTTTTAGTGAATTTACATAATAATGAATAAAAATTAGATACCACCGTAAAGACTTTTTTCGCTCTATCTAATAGTATAAAAATTCAAAATGGTGGCCATAAGAAAACAAAAACTTGACTGTAGTTGTGCGAAATCTAGAAGGCTTAGAAATTTTCAGAAAACGCAAAAATAAAATGTTTTAGTGTATTGTGGTGAATTAGTGTTTTATTTTGCTAACGGTGTTAATCATAAAACAAAGATATGTAGATATTATACCATATGATTGGAAAAAAACGGCGTCAGAGATGGATTATTCAAAATTTAAAATTGCTGTCATTTTATACGTAAAATTGGAAATGTGAAATGTCATCGATCGTCATTTCCAAGCTAACTGGACGTCGTTTTTTTTCGATCATACGGTATTAATCTATTAAATTTATTAATATTGTATTTTTTATACCTTTGCCCCATTCTCGTGTATCAATAAAAGTATCTTGTGGATCTTCATTGATGGTCAATATAGATCTATAAAAGCCTGTGCCTGTTGTGTCATTTTGGTATTTTTCCCATCCTTTCAAATTACTAATCCATTCTTTTTTTAGTTCCAAAGGTACTACTTTCCAATTCGATATAACATTTGAATTAATAGTTACGTTTCCTGAAACATATATTATAGAATATATTTATTTACAGAGACTGTTTGAAAAGATTAGAGGGACACAATTTCTGCAAATATTTGGAGATACCTCTACTCAGACAAGATCGCATTATCAAGGTTTTTCCAGCCTTCTCAAATAATGCAAACAGTCTGCGCAAAATAATTTTGTAATATTATTTTGCAGAATCAGTAATCTTACAGAATCTAATTCGTGGTACGAAAATTGTTTTTTTATGACGATGTGCAAACGAGTCAAATTTCCTGTGCGCAAAAATAAACTCGCGTAAAATAACAATAAACAGCGTAATAGAGAGATATCGCTAAACCGAATAGCGTGCATGGACGTTAATAAGGCCAGGTGTTATTTCCTTTACGTGAGGTGGTATTAACTCTCTTCATTTATAGTTATCGGATCGGAAAGAATTCTGATCGCGTCGCGTCCGCTATTTAAACTTAACCTAACTTTGAATTTAAAACTTTGAAATTGTTTTGTTTACTAGGTATTTTAAAACTAAAGGGCTAAAGTGCTTATTTCCAGTGCTTTATTGTTCAACGTCTGCCAGTGGGTTTAGGGCAACAAGCAACAAATTCTCTTAGAAGGGCTAAGTCGTCATCTGCTGTAAACCTAAGACTCTTTATAGGTTCTTTAATATTGGAAGAGGTAGAATCCATATTTTGGGCCATATTTATTTAATTAAAACTAATCCCAGCTACTTAAATATCAAATTACCTAATAAAACTAAAGCAATAATTCAAAACAATTCAAACATAACCTAAAATAAAAGATCTCGCCGGCCGGCTCCGGTTGTCAAATACTCGCACATGCCCATTTAAGCAATTTTTAAACGTTATCAGAGGTTATTTAGAAAGAGCGCTTGGTGTAATTGATCCGCAAATTACGTCAGGCGGTAACGCTATTAGCGGGTGTTGCGTTAAAAATTGATTCGCGCATATCGTAACCATGATAAGGTACGCGTAAATACTGGATGACGCTATTCGGTTTTCCGATATCTCTCTAATAACTGTGCCGGTCAGGCGCTGTGCACAATTTTAGACGCCATAAGTGGGCGTGCTATGTGCGCAAATTAGTCACCTAACTAGTGAAGTAAGAAAATTGGAACCACGAAAAACAATCAAGAAAAAACAAAGATTATAATCTGTATGATCTGTGGTAGAAGTATCTAAGCTCACGCTCGTGGATCAGCAAAATGTCCAACCGTAGACAAGAGGTGGTCGCAATACAATGATGTTATTGTTAGCACGGTGTAGGTCCATCTTTAGAAGCAACCACTCTAGTAGAAACTATTTATTTTCCACACCCTGTCTCATTTCTACTATACCTTGCCACAATCCTTTGCGTGTTTGATTATATTGGTAAAAGTTTCCTCCATTCATTCTGCCCATCTCTTCCACTACTAAATCAATGGTAGCTCCAAAAACAACCTGGCTATTTAATGTAACACTCGAATTTCCTAGTTTCCAGAAGCCAAACCCATCGAAGTCAGACAAAACTTTTAATTGTTTGGGGGCAATTAATTCTCCATTAACAAGAACCAGTACGGTATCACAAACATGACCTAAAAAGGCACATCATTATAAATATACATTTGTTAATTTCCTACTGCACGACAAAATACAAAGATGAGTATAACTCTGATTTTCAAGATTTTCAAAAATTCCCTCATCGTTTTATTTTACTATTTCAAACAAAAAAAAAACTAACATTACATTTCTAAGCTACTAAATAAAAAAATACAATGACAAAGTTGGCTTCAAATCTTCATTCATTCACTGAGAAGCACACTGAACAACCGAATAAAAGGAATCCATCTCAGACAAAGTCTGGTAAAAAATCCGAGTTGTGGTCAACACATAGACTTAAAATAAAATATAGACTACACTATTTACATCTCAACGCGGACAAACAACCTTTTTTGTACACATGTTTACTTCTGGGTACAGTCGACCGAGCCTTCCTCATCCAGCTTATGTTGTCACGTCTTTAATATTATCAATATTTTTTTTCTTGTTATACACATATATTGAGATATTAATACTACAGTTTAATAAAGTAGGTTTTAATATTCCATAGATGTATTAAATAGTCCTTATACTACTAAATTATAAGTTGGATACTGTTTAAAAAGGATAAGTTCTTTACAATATGACAACACCGATTAGAGGCGAGGGAGCCTATTCATTCATTTATTACCTTGTAGTACGCGTCGCACGTGTGCGGTAAAGCTTTGTTGCCGCTATGTTCCCGGCTGTATTAACGCATTTTCTTAGCTTGTAGTCCTTAAGTGTTTATTTTATTGACTTTTTCTGTTCAAGAACTATAAAATATGGTTCGCCAGTGCCAAATTTGCAAGAAAAATTTGACTTAAATAATTCATTTAAGTCTTGAAACTCTCAATTTACCCATTAGGAGTCAATGGCGTTGTTGTAGAAAGGCGCTTATTTAGATAATATTTTAGTAAAATGTAAAATCTGAATTTTTTCTCTTACATTACGTTGTTTACTTACTTACATTGTAACAGAATCATAATTATAACCCTGTTAATAATTAATAATGTTTTTATTAAAAATATATTCCGGTTTATTCTAAAATTATCTTTAGAATCTAAAATAACATACTAGAATTTTAAAATGATATTACATTATGAAACAATATTTTTTAATATACCGGGTCGTCTCAAAAGTGGCTCACCCCTATAACTTTTTTTATTTTTTCAGATAAAAAACACAGATTTGTATGTTAGTAGGTATATGACATAAATTAGGATTTATTGACGTATTCAATTGTTTTTGGTCTCTTCCTGTTTCACCGATATGATTACATCTTGATTTTTAAAGGCACCCTCGGTATATTGCTACTTTATTCGATAGAAAATGACACTCTGAATAGAATGACATATCATATGTCAACTTTTGACATTGTCGCTTAAAAACAAATCGTATTTTAAATTTCAATCCGGGGTGCCATGGTGTTGTTAAAAACACTAAGTTTTAATCAAGGAGCCTTGGAAAAATAATTTTGATCGTCTAATAGGTTTCGTGTCTTGTCTAGGCCGGTTAAAAGATGTACAAATCGTATTTTTAATCATACATATGTCAATTTTTTCAAATGGAACAAGGGAGACTCATTAGCATATTTGGAAAAAGCATTTTTTATGAATATATTGATACCACACACTTGGTATTTCGAGTCAAATTGTCGTTATGAACCGCGTGTTACAATTACAATTAAACCATATGCGAAAATGTCAAAGTTGACATATTATGCTATGTCATTCTATTCAGAAATCAATATTATTATTAAAAATTAAATTGTTATCATTTTCTATCGAATAAAGTAGAAATATACCGAGGGTGCCATTTAAAAATTAAAAGTTATATTCATTTCCGGTGAAACAGGAAGTGACCAAAAACAATTGAATGCGTCAATCAATCTAATTTATGTAATTTTTTATTTGAAAATATAAAAAATTATGAGGATGAGCCATACTTTTGGAACGCACCCGGTATAATAAAGACAGTACCGAGTTAAATAAATGTAGTTTTCATATTATCCACTCCTATCACCTTCCTTGCTTTAATGGAACAGATTTATGTTTTCTCTAATTTACATAATAAGACGTCACTTAACCAGAAAAAAAATTACAAAAATCATATTTTTTTTCTCTCCCTGTCGCCGATTCTATTATATCTGTGAAATAGATCCTGTTTTGATTAATATTAGGGGTTGTAAATGTTTGACTAAAATTAATAATTTATTATTAATTTCAAAAATTACGTAATTTCGATTATAAAATTTCTTCTATAACGTGTATTTTATTATTTTTATCCTTTTTGGACTCTAAGACGTTTTTTTCTAAACTTTTATTCAAAAAACCTGTCCTAAATCTTAATAAAATATTTAAATACGATATATTTTTAATTTAATTATAGCTTCATTAAAATAAAAAAAGTTACCCGGCTATGATACGGAGAGTTCAGGTGTACTTGAGAAACGAAAGACAGTGTTGTGTTTCTCGGCAGAGTCGTCAGGGAACGACCGTTATGACAGAGACAACGTATCTATCGCTCGTGTCGCACTCGTTATAACCTAAAAAATAACACAACAATAACAAGACGTTGTCTGACCGCATGTTCCAGCTATTTATGAATGAGATGCTCAGTCTATATTTTATTTTAAGTCTATGGGTCAACATCATATTTTGTCATCATCTTTCAAACTTTACATACTTGAAATTAGTTTAATTTTACCTTCAATAGTTAATAAAGATCCTGGTTCCAAATCGACATTCTCTTTCCTGTAAACAATATATCCGTTACTTTGACCAGATTTGTTATTGATATCCAGCAATTCCATCGCAACTACATAAGCACTACTAATTTCGTAAGGAGCATTGTTTTCAATTACACTATTTAATGGCAAAGTATCACTAATAGTTGTACTTTCATAAGCTACAGGAGGAATATGTTCTGGAACGTCTGGAGTAAAGGTCTGAACAGGATTTGCAGCAGCTACCAATTCTTTAACTATGTAGTACTTGCTGCGATACGCTCCTTGTTCGTCTAAAGGTGAATCATAGTCATAACTGGTGGTAATTATTTCAAACCCAGAATTGTCTGTCAGGTCGTTAGCTAAAATGTTATCTCCTTATTACTGGATCTTTAATTTATAATTTATTTTCTTAAATATTCATTGGTAATAAAGTTTGTATTCTTACAAAATGAGCCGCCACTATTAAAAGCAAAATTAGTTCCTCCGTGGAACATATAGGTGCTGAATGAAGCATTTTTTGCTAGAATTTCACTAAGAACATTTCTAGTATCGTCGTCCGATTTTCCCGTATGATTTGCACCCCAGAAATCGTACCATCCTATCCAGAATTCCATTACCATCAGTGGTTTGCCCGGTTGTAGTTCTTCCAACTTATTAAGCTGATCTGTTGCTCCTCCACCAAAATTGGCAGTTTGAAGGAATACATCAGGTAACGTTCCTAAAGGAATATTAATGACAACTGTATTACTTAACTACGACTACTACCATTTACTTTGTTTAGACAATATACCTATTATCACAGAATATCTAGCTACGCAACAGAAGCCTCGTTACACGTATAAAATCGTAGGTATCAGAAGGAGACAGGTTTTAAAAGCCTGTCTCCAAATCAGATATTTTGATGCGGTAGTTTCGCTACTACATAATAGAGGGCGATAAATTTAAAGGAAAACAGTTTTCTACAAACGAAATTTAAACGAATTTTATGCAGTGTTGCCATTGTGCAATTCATATTGTAATACTTCCTTATAAAGCCTACCTTCAAATTTGCTACACCATTTAAACATATTAAAATAGATCAGAGCTCTTTTTTCAAACGTTTAGGTATTTAAATTGCCATGTTAGTAGGAGTTAAATCTTAGAGCTGAATTATAATCACTTTGTGACGTTTGATTGTAATTAAATTTCCTCGATTGGACTTATACTTGGTATAGTAAGTATCTTCCATAGAATAACTAACTGAAAGAAATGAAAACTCCTATGTTAAAGCCTGGAAACACGCGCTCGACGCGATCCAAGCGGGCTACTGGCAGAACTAAAAGTTCGCGCCATATTTTTAAATGGACCTTTACTGCCAGTTCAAAAGTTTTTTACTTATATTTGGTAATTTCAATCTAGATTATGAATTTATTTGTAACAAAACATTTTACAAAATAAAAGTAATGTATTTTGATACAAATAAATTAATAATCTAGGTTGAAATTATCCCTGAAATTAGAATAAAACACGAAAAATCTGTAACTTTATTATTTTATTATAACATTGTTAAAATTACATAATAACACATTCAACACTATACAAGTATATATAAAAGTTATCAGAATTTATACAATCAGTTATAAGTAATTATAAAAAAGGTTATAAATTATAAATAAATAATTCATTATATAAAAGACATATAGTTACCGTGAATATAATTTGGTATAACTTTAATCTCAACTTTAATGACCTATTCAAATAGAAACATCTTACAATTCACATTATATAATACACAAAGCCAAGGGACAAAATTGTTATTAAATCTATTCTCGATGACTCGAAGCATTTTTTTTCAAATAAAACAGGACATATAGGGCTTATAAATAATACAAGGGTATAGAAAATATATAAATAAGTAAATACAAATATATTTTCAACCTAATGATTAATGATTATACTCGTTTAAATAAATAAATGATCTTTTTAAAATTACTTGTTTGTCTTTGCAAATTTGTATATTTATATTTATCTAAAAGCGTACACTTACATAAATTACTGCACAACCTTTAAAATCAAGCTTTTAATATGTGTTATACAAATTCTTGATTCGATATAAATTCATTTAAATAAAACTTTAAAATTAATGATCTTCCAAATTTCTGAGACAGCCATTTTGTTGAAAAAATTTGTTTTGATTATGAGAAATTTCATAAAAATTATCACAGGGATTAATTAATCTTATATATTAAACTACTTGGCTTTTAAATTTCACAATCCTATCGTCCAAAATACTCTAAATTCGCAAAAATCCGTAAAATATTCCCATGAAAACAAATCACAATTCACTCTCACTTCACAGAAACTGACAGACATTGCCAAATATGGAATGACGTTTATTTTTCAATTTATTTTACTGATCTAACTGATCCGGGTCACTTAGAAATTAAATTTTTATTAAATTATTTAATTATAATTGTTTCTGACGAAAGCAACTTCATACCAATGTTTATTCATAGGGTAACAAAGCACATCACTGTTAAATTATCAACATTTTATATAAATATTTATATTTTTCAACTACTCCAACTACTCCAATTACTCCACAGAGAATCAAACGAATTGTTAATTAAACTATACTCTGTGGATGACTTGATAAAATCATGATGAAATTAAAGTCCCTAGATGAATATCTAGGGACCTAGATGAAATTTCTACGCAGCGCCATCTATCCCTCTACTGGCAGAAACTCCGCCGTGTTTCCAAAATTCAAATGGCAGTTTCATCCGCCTGGTATCTTCGGTGACATTGTAATATGATGGTACTATGATGCATACAAAGTGGTACCTTCTATAGTACCATATTATGATACCACTTCCTGACGTTCGATTGGGCTCATATTTGATTATACCTGCGTATTTTTTATGACATTGCAATATTATGGTACCATAAAGCATATCAAGGGGTACCATAATGTAGTTCCATATTACGATACCATTTCCTGGCGTTCGATTGGGCTTAAACTTTGTATGATACGTATGTTCGGTGACACTGTAATATGATGGTACTTTGATGCATATAAAGTGGTACCTTCTATAGTACCATATTATGATTGATTATACTTGCGTATTTTTGATGACATTGCAATATTATGGTAACATGAAGCATATCAAGAGGTACCATAATGTAGTACCATATTACGATACCATTTCCTGGGGTTCGATTGGGCTTAAACTTGGTATACTACGTATCTTCGATGACATTGTAATATGATGGTACTATGATGCATATAAAGTGGTACCTACCTATAGTATCATATGACGATACAATTTCCTGGCGTTCGATTTTGCTTAAATTTGGTATACTATGGATCTTCGGTGACATTGCAATATTATGAAGCATATCGAGTGGTACCATAATATAGTACAATTTTATGATATCATTCCCTGGAGTTCGATTGGGCCAAAATTTGGTATACTTGCATTTCGTTATAAAGATTTGTTTAATTAATAATTTTAATTTATTTTACGAATTTTAATTTATTGTACGATGTCGTGACAGCAACTTTTATGCCGAACTAATATATTATTAATTGTACCTGTGTCACTTTTTAAAATCTACCTAGGTCTATATAAATAACGTGGCAACAGAAGAAATTTGTTCTTATAGTATTTTTTAGTCAATTAACATTTTTATACTGCATTTTAATAAATTATTTCCATTATTATTAAACGTATATTTCATTACTAACGTTTCAGCATTAATAAATATCACTATCAATCGCCCTGTATATTATTAATTTTAAAGGTAATTAAAGTTATTTTCTTAGTTAACATAATAAAGTAGTGTATTACATATATTACAAATGTATTTTGTGAGCATATGTTTTCTAATAATATACTTAAACTTAAAACTATTTTAAAAGCCAAACGAATAATTAATGTAAGGGTATCTGACAAGAAACGAAGAATAGAAAGAAATTATTATACACCAGAAAAAGAATGGGATGCCAATTAAAGTCTTTTTGAATCTGGCAACTGTGCATCTTTAGCCGAGCTTCAAGGCTGTCAACGTGCCGTGGATCTAAAACCGAAAATTGAAAATTTCCAATTATATTCTGATTATGATATTGTCGCGGCATCTAGTATTTTATTTGTGCAATTTTAGCTCTTTCATTTCGAGTATTTTTCTGTTGCGTAGCTAGATATTCTGTGCTATTATCAAACGCGTAAGTTACTGGTCTCTTTCAGGTCTAATATATAGACTAAGAGCTAGCAACGTTTTCGAGAAAGTATTTTAAGACGTCTGGCTCTTTGATATATCTTTTATTATACTCTCTGGAACAGCGTGCAGGCCGTCTGGCTGCCGATATTTTCTATTTTTTAATATATAGGGTGTTACATTACAAAAAACACAACTTTGATATATAACTTTTTGGGGGACTTAACCTAACAAAATTGGAGCTTCCGCGTTGTGTGAGAGGCACCGCCCTGTGCGGAAATACAACATTTACAAAAGGAAAAGTGAACAGTGAACCATATAAAATCTTAGTGATTAATTGTATAATTTTCTAGGAATGGTAATAGACCAAATAACTGATTTACTGACCTTGAGTGCCACTAGCTAAAGGACTATCAGATGTTACCAGTAGCTCCACTATATTATTTTTTAAATAAAGCTGATGAAGTTGTTCGAGATAGTCCTTATCTGGCATAAGATCTTTGTATTTCATATAGCCATACTCGTTTTCCACTTGAAAAACGATTACCGGTCCTCCTTTTGTGAATTGGAATGCAGTTAATAGAGTCAGCAAAACATTAAACCACCTGAAATTGTTATTATGAATATACAGGGTCCGGCAATAGTACGTCGGGCATCTGTAGCTCTCAAAATAAAAACTATAGGGTGGCTCAAAAATGAGTGAGTGGATCGGGATTATTTTTTTTTAAATGGAACATGATTTTTTTTTTAAATTGAACCCTGTATATTATTGCATTTTTGGCTTCTTTTTCAGATCACTTTACATAATCCTAAGATATGAGTAAATATATTTCCATAGTTTCAGAGATATTATTAAATAAATAAAAATTATATATTTTTTAGCCTTTCTTAAAAAATATATTAAAATACAAAAACTGTCCTGAAATCAAAACTATATTAGATATTTACTTTAGATGGTCTGTACTTACTTTGCTATAAACATGGTAATCGTATATCATACAGGATGTTCAAAATTCTACGTCAAACTTTCTAAAATATAAAATAATTTTTCTTCGTTTTTTTTTTAAATGGAACACCCTATATATTATTTTTCCAATAGATGGAGAATTAAAAAATAAACATTTTTTTATTTAGAGTATTTCAAAATTTAACGGTTTCGCAGATATTAGAAGTTTTATATTTCATATGGCATTTTCCATAGTAAATTTTTATCAAAGCCACCCAATGAATTTTCTCTCGTATTTTACCGTTGAGAAAACCATATGAAATAATACTGCGTGCGAAACCATTAAAAATTTTGAAATAGTTTAAATACAAAAATGTTCATTTTTTTAATTCTCCATCTAATAAAAAAATAATATAATAATATAAGTATTACCATTAAAAAAAAACAAAGAAAAATTATTTTATATTTCAGAAAGTTTGGCGTAGAATTTTGAACATCCTGTACGATTTAAGATTACGATATTTATAGCAAAGTTAAGTATATCCCATCTAAAGTATATACCTAATATAGTTTTCATTTTAGGACAGTTCTTGTACTTGTAATATTTTTAATATGGCAACATAGGTATAAGATTAAATTTACAAGAAAGGATATCCAGAAAAGATGCAGTGGTTCTCAAAGTTTTAGGAAAAAATCAATTTTTTTGGAAATTTTCAAAGTAAAATAACGTCCGTTATTTTGGACTTAGTTCAAAAAGGATAAAGAGGAAATATGTTTCTTTTGTCGAGATCTACCACCTTGCTTAAAATACTTGCTCTTATTTCTGAGACACCCTGTATTTTATTGCCATATTGTTTATTAATTTTTATTTTTATTATTTTTAATTGTCTGTTTGTTTTAAAATGGATCTATTATCATTTTTAGAACTATGCCAAAAACCTAATTAATTAGAATATCTTAACAGGTAATCTCCAAAAATCAAAAAAATATAATCCTTTTTTTTTGGAAATACTACCTTGTGACAAATTTCATGTAAGTTGATTCAGAAGTCCTAAAACCCATAGTTTTTTCTCTTAACAACCAACTAGGAAAACCGCCAAAATTATATTCGGAACAAATGTAAGGTCCAGGTCTTAATATAACAAACAAATCTTCTTCTTTAGCAGTGTTCAAGAACTCTTCCAAATACAGAAAATCCTCCATTTCAGAGCCACCATTTCCAAAATCATATTTACCTGAATAATTTTAGAGGATTATTAGAATAAAATAATATATAACTAAAAAATATCTAAGATAATTTGTCCTTAATTAGTTAAATTATGAATAGAAAGTGATTCTATAAAATTACTAAGAATTAAATAGCTATCCAAATTATATCAGTAGAAAAAAGTTAACATAGTGTTTTAATGTTTTTTTTTATTTCTAATCCAAAGAATTTCGAAAAATCCCTTCTTATCTTTGAATAAGAAGACTAAGGAAGGAGCATATCAAAAATCTTAGGTACACCGCGATGGGCCTCAAATATGGCCGTCTTAAATTCCGGTTTATCAGTGTCGTTCTAATTTTATTTAAAAAATGTAAAACTATGATGTAGGGTAGACGTGGGGTAGACTCAATAATTTGTTGTTTTATTTTACGTTGTGAATAAATGTTGGTAGTTATTAAAATTGTTATAAAAATATATAATTCTAATAAAAATAGATAAGTTATAATAAGTATTTATTAACACAAACATCCGATACGCTACTGAAGCAGGTAAGTCAAATTAACGCAGGTAAGTTAAATTAACAAATTAATTAATTAATTAATCTAAATTCTTTGACATCTAATCTTTGACAAGTAATACATAAAAGCTAAAATGCAAGAAAAATATATAATTTAGTTAATTTAAGTGAATTTCATAAATGATCAGTTTACTACACGTATATTATATAGTCACTTACTAGCGAAAAGTTGTTCCATTATTTCACTCAATTTTTGCCGAGATCTACCGCACGCTACACAACCAACTATTTTAGAGTCTTTTTCGATAAATCGCGATAGTGTCACTGTTAATTTAAGTTCTGCCACAATTTCCATCTAGATTTACTACCTTTATACAACTATCAGTAGTAGAATAAATAATAAATAACATAAAATAAGCTCCGTAAAGACTGACAAATCAACAAAATTTCAAATCAAATTCAAATGTGTCAAATGAATCGTCAAACAGAACTGTCAAGGATCCCCACCCTAGAGAGCTTTTATGGTGGCTTTTCCGCCCACCATGCATGAATACATGGACAGCATTATGCTCCTTCCTTAGTCTTCTTATTCAAAGCTTCTTATCGAACCTCTGCACCCTAGAATCAACCTGTATGCCAAAATTGAGCTTCTTACGTTGCGTGGTTTGAGCAGGATCGTGATTAATCAGTATGTCAGTCACTTAAGGATTTTATATATTATAGCACAGATTATACAGATTATAATCATTGTTTTTTCTTTATTGTTTTTCGTGGTTCCAATTTTCGGAATCGGGCACTAGTTAGGTGACAGAAGTGTCTAGTTCTAGCAGTCAACTATTAAGCTTGACCAATCAGGTTGGTTAGCATGGTTATTTGGAGTGTGTTAATTCATTCGTGTTTGTCAAAAACTCTAACGTGATTGGTCGGGCTTAACAGTTGCCTGCTAGGGCTAGACACAAGTTTAGGTGACTAGTTTGCGCACATAGCTTTTGGCCTCTAAAATTGTGCACAGCGCCTGACCGGCACAGTTATTAGAGAGATATCGGAAAACCGAATAGCGTCATCCAGTATTTACGCGTACCTTATCATGGTTACGATATGCGCGAGTCAATTTTTAACACCCGCTAATAACGTTACCGCCTGACGTAATTTGCGGATCAATAGGGAGTTTTCGTTGCTTACAAATTGCAATTCCGGTTAACGCTAATTGACAACTTTGACATTTCAATTTCGATTATCGTATATCGTAACCGCTAGCTGCCGATATTTTACGGACGTTAGCCAAAGCCGTTAACATAGCGGTACGCATGCGCACTAGCGCAGTAGAAACACAACATTGAAAAATACAGATCTAACCTAACCTGATTCTATTTTGTTTATGTTTTGATTATTTATTTTATCTGTGTTAAACTCGTTGGGCACCGTTTGTATAAACTTTGTTTAAAGGCTAAACAGTGATCAACTATACATATTTTATTATAGTTAATCATTGTTTAGCCTTTAAACAAAGTTTATACAAACGGTGCAAGTGGGCATTAGTGCTTCAACTAATCGAGGAATGTCTTTTTTTTCAAAGCGAAAGTTAGCTTTGCACTCTTGGTCAGATAATATTTCTAGGTTGAACTCCCCATAAAGTTCTGCTCGATATTCGATGTTGTTTTCAAACCCTTCCAACAGCATCGCATCCTCCAAATCCGATTCATCACTAGAGTCCAATAAAATTAAATTGTCCATCCTATATAGCGATACCCAATAAAGACATATAAAGCACTTTGAAATCAAACAACAATACAAAAAACCAAAAATCAAAACACTACGCTACGGGCTGTGCTTAGCTGTCAGTTTTCGGTTATCGTATCGTATGTCGGCTCCGAACCGATGAACCGAAAGTTCGAAAACTGTTTTTTTATCTGTCAAAATAGCGGTTATGGTTACGTATCCGTTAACCGTACCGTTGAATTTTTTTAAAGCAACGAAAACTCCCTAATTACACCAAGCGCTCTTTCTAAATAACCTCTGATAACGTTTAAAAATTGCTTAAATGGACAACCGGAGCCGGCCGGCGAGATCGTTTATTTTAGGTTATGTTTGAACTGTTTTGAATTATTGCTTTAGTTTTATTAGGTAATTTGATATTTAAGTAACTGGGATTAGTTTTAATTAAATAAATATGGCCCAAAATATGGATTCCACTTTTTCCAATACTAAAGAACCTATAAAGAATCTTAGGTTTACAGCAGATGACCACTTAGCTCTTCTAAGAGAATTTGTTGCTTGTTGCCCTAAACCCACTGGCAGACGTTGAACAATAAAGCACTGGAAATAAGCACTTTAGCCCTTTAGTTTTAAAATACCTAGTAAACAAAACAATTTCAAAGTTTTAAATTCAAAGTTAGGTTAAGTTTAAATAGCGGAGGCGACGTGATCAGAATTCATTCTGATCCGATAACTATAAATGAAGAGAGTTAATACCACCTCACGTAAAGGAAATAACACCTGGGCTTATTAACGTCCATGAACGCTATTCGGTTTAGTGATATCTCTCTATTACGCTGTTTATTGTTATTTTACACGAGTTTATTTTTGCGCACAGGAAATTTGACTCGTTTGCACATCGTCATAAAAAACAATTTTCGTACCACGAATTTGGGACAAGATTTTTATCTGTATACTTATAGGATATAGTATAGATACTTTTATTCAAATATGCAATAATTGTTTTGAGGAGTGTATATTGTGTAATTATCTTGTCGAAGAAGATTTAAGAATTCGTTGTATGATTGTGATTGCAAGAAGAATTAAAGTTATTACTGATCTGTTAGTCATTTTGTTGAAGTTTGTCTTGTATTGTCTTGTCTGGGTTATGGCTTTGCAACTAAGCAGTTGCCTAGTTCTCTCTGTGTTAAGCCCCGTTCTCAGAACAGCGAGTGTCGCCAGCGACACATCAAAAGAACAGCTGTCAATTTTAAATTTAGTACAGCTCCCATTGGTTGTTTGAAATGTCAAACTGTGTAGCCAGCGACACGGCGCAGTTCTGAGAACGGGACTTTAGAGTTCTATTATAGTTAGATACGGATATTCTAACCTGATTCTGGCTCGTGTAGATTCCACGGAATGTATGTCTCAACTGTGTTCAATCCAGCAGCTCTAATTTTCTTCAGGCGATCTCTCCAATAAGGTCTCGGTACCCTAAAATAATGCATAGCTCCACTATAGATCCTGATGAGCCTGTCATTTAGAGTAAAGTAGCTCTGATTAGCACTTAAACCTTGATGGATACCTCCACTGGTATAATATTCGTAATTTGTTGGTAGAGCAGCTGATGAACCTGCGCTTACAGCCATTTTACACTTTCACAAATGAATGAAATAAAAATATGAGTTTTAAGTAGAGATGGAATGTTTTTATATTGAAAGTAGTGAATAAATATTTTGAAAACACTTCAGTTTTATCTAATAATATAAATATGAATATCAAATATGAATGCAGATAGGTATTTTTTATATTTAATAAATTTATTTCCCAACAAGCAAAATTTATTGCTGGAACATTGCCAAAACTTCGCAAAGCAAGGTTTAACATTCGTTGTAGGGAGGTTTATGCAAGGTGGCAGGGTAGCTTAATCTTCCGCCAAATTACATTGCAGTGGAAGGTTGAAAAATACAATATTATTGAAACGTTGCTAATGTAACGTTCAGGAAACTACTAATTTGAGATGTATTAGTAATATTGTTAATTTTACGTCAATACAATATTGGTAAAATTATATTGTACCTATGTTTCAAAACTTATTATCCATTAAACTTTCTATTTTGTTATAACTTATTAACTGACTTATTGCTAAAATAATATAGCAAAAAATAGATAATGTTTACAATAAAAAACCATTTCATTAGCAACATTAGCAATTTTATGTTAACAATAATACATCAGTAATAAGTTATAATCAGCAGAAACATTAATGGCTATTAATTATTAATTATGGGTATTACTTTTACTAATATTGTATTGACGAAGAACATAAACAATATTGATAAAAATATGCATATCTCTATATCCATCGACTTAGAAAAATTAAAAATGCTCGGTAAATATATCCCTACCAAGAAAGTCGAATTTGTCAAACAAAAAAAAAACAAATAAAAACTAGAAATTTATCACTTACTTGTTTCAAAAATATCAAAAATACTGATAAGTACTGAGTACTGAAAACTTACTGATCTTTTCGGCTGCTCATTAAATAAGGAATTACTCAACTCTGACCTCTTGAATCGAATTTCTAAAAAAATAAAGTTGAAGGTCTGAAATAATACAAAATATATATTGGTACAGTATAAACATTATTATATATTTCTTATTCAAAAATACAAAAGGAAAGTATAACATTAAATATATGTACAAGGAAAAGCAAACTTATATTTTAATTGATTTTTTGGATCTTTCATATTTTGTCTTCGCATGTTGAATTGTCTTATTTATGATTTCAAATTCCTTTTCGCTAAAGTTTTGAAATCTATATCCAATCATTTCTAAAGTAGTAAAAATAAAAACAATCAGTTGTAATAAATAAAACCATGAGAAACTTACCTCTTGTGACAGTAATTTGAGGCCCCTTTATGTTCTTATTTTAAACATTTCAAATGATTATATCATTAAAAAAATATTATTGAGAATATATAATACTGAATATTATTTGTAATCGATTTTATCATTAGATTGATATACTCGTATCCCCTGGTTTTATCCATGTTTTATCTACTTCAATTTTTAGTTGGCTAAAAGCTAACCGAAAACATAAAATTTAACTTAAAACAAACTAAACAAAATTTGTTATACTTTCATTCATGGCTACAAACAATATTAAAACACACATAATAATAAAATTATACTTACATTTACATTCATTAAAATCTCATTCGAAAAGCATAAAACTTGATACCAAAAACGTAAAAAAAAACAAGTGCGTTAACCTAACCTAACTTATACGTATGATCGAAAAAAAAGCGTCAGCGATGGCTATGAAAAGAAAATCGCTGTCATTTGGCTTTTTAAGACCCGTTCTCAGAACTGCGACTGTCACCAGCGACACGACAAAAGAACCAATCAGATTTGTACAAAATTCAAACAGCTGTCAATTTTAAATTTAGTACAGCTCCCATTGGTCATTTGAAGTGTCAATTAGTGTCGCTGTCGACACGACGCATTTCTGAGAACGGGGCTTTACAGAAACTAAAAAGTATACTTAAAGCAAAACAAATAGGATAAAAATAGATCCTAAACAATCGTTAAAGAGGGATATTAACATTATTTGCTTCTTTTATCTCTTTTTACGAAATATATTTAAATGTGATTGTTAACCTGGTTAATCTAATGATCCAACCGTTCGTAATTAAACTACCAGCTGCATGATTACTCTCAGCACTGATCTTGGAACAGCTGATTAGTAAACTACCTAATCTAGGATTTTAATTCCGAAAACCCCTTATGTCATAATAAGGCAACTTTCATCTTTTTTATCTTCTGATAGACAGCAGATATAAATGCTGTGGTTCCAGAATTATCAATGTATTATAACACATATTATACAAAAACTTTACTTATAGCGACACATATAGAGACCAAAACAAACATATCGATTAATACTCTATTATTATACACGTTATGGTCATCAAACATTTCGCAAATATCACGATATAGAGTAGCGCTTACACTGAAATAAATAATGGTTACAATCAGCCAAGTAGAGCATATGAAAGAGTTTCTATCTAGCTGTAAAGTTAAATTAAACATAACCTAAAGATAGTTGTTACAATCAGTTACAATCAACAAAAAAGTTAAAGGAGGCAAATTACCTTAGACAAGGAAAGAGAAAGGACGAGTAACACAAAGGAAATTTTGTGACAGTTTGCCACCACGCAACTTGACGCATAGGCGTATCCTAAGGGTATAATACGTTATTGAAGATGTGCCAACAAAACAGTTTTATTTCAATTTTTATTAATAATTTTAAAGATTGATTATAATATTATTAATAATAATAACATTTGTAGTATACTTTAACAATATAATGACACAAAAGATTTTAAAATATAATTTTATCGATATGTTGGAGAGTATGGCATTTTAATTTTATAATTAATAATTATATGTATAGTTATTGAAAAAAAATGCAAAAACTAATGGTTTTATTTATTTTAACTCCGATTTTTTAGATTTCCTGTACATTTTAACCTTTTTATAAGCTTCTCAAAGAAAACAATGAGATATAGTTTATAAATACATTCAAATGTTTACAACAAATAATAAAGTTATTTTCTAATAAACTTAAAAATTAAAATTAGCTGTTCCTTACAGATAAAAAAATAGATTTCGTTAGAGGGTTTTGAACAGGATATAGCTGAGTAGAGCTTAATTAATAAAAACCGTTTCAGTTAGTGGTAGTCTAATTTCTGAAATTTAAAATCACTTTTCTAGCTTAACTAAAGCCTAGGCATATTTCTTCGAGTGTAAGTGCTGGAACTTGTTGATATTCATTCTTTCGACCTTTTGAATAAGTTCGCGTGCAGCTTAATGGCTTGTATTTCAGTACGGGGGTGAATATTCTGACCAAGAGAAAATAGAGCAGATTCTAGAAAGCCTCTGGACGGTGTAGGTTCTGTGTAACGTAGAAAATGCATTTTCTTGTAATTTAGAACTCATTTATCAATATACCCATGGAATACTGACATTTTAGATTATTTTTAAAGATGTACCAAATTTTTAAAGAGTACAGATACTAATATTGTCACTATAGTTCGTTTATTTCATTAAAAAATAAAAAAACTGTTTAAATATTTGTTAAAGAGAACCAATTAATATGATTCCAGTATTCAAACTACATTAATTGACTGTTTGCGTTGATTAATAATAATTGCTCCAAATACTAAAAAACTAAATTATTTATATGTATTAGACAGTGTGGTAAAAAAACTAACACCTTAAAAATGATATTTCATTTTTTGACAAATGCTTATTTATAAAAACAGCGACATTCATTTTTATAATTTATTATTATATTGATTTCTAGCCTGTACATTTTGTACATTTGTTGTTTTAAAAACAATCTAAAATGTCAATATGCCATGAGTATATTGATAAATGAGGTCTAAATTATAAGAAAATGCATTTTCTACGAAAACTTGCCTAGGGATGTCTTGAAGATGACTTTTTTTGTCCCATCTGGATATCCCATAAATATCCTCCTCTGGCTTTTGGATATCCCTAAGATATTTACTATATCCTTGGTGGATATCCTCAAGATATCTATATAGGATTGTGTTGTGTTATATGGGAGAAATATCTACAACTGAAACATATTATGTCATAATAAGGCAACTTTCATATTTTTTATCTTCTGATTTTATATCTGCTGTGGTTCCAGAATTATCAATGGTGAACTCATATTATATAAAAACTTTACTTATAGCGACACATATAGAGACCAAAACAAACATATCGATTAATACTCTATTATTATACACGTTATGGTCATCAAACATTTCGCAAATATCACGATATAGAGTAGCACTTACACTGAAAAAAATAATGGTTACAATCAGCCAAATAGAGCATATGAAAGAGTTTCTATCTAGCTGTAAAGTTAAATTAAATATAACCTAAAGGTAGTCGTTACAATCAGCAAAAAAAGTTAAAGGAGGCAAATTATACTCTTTTCATAAATAGTCTGCCAACTTACGATCATTTGCATTTTGCATCTTTTGAAATCTGCTTACTTACCTATAGATTTTCCTTGTCTTATGTAACACACATCGTCATTGAACCTTTTCTTAAAAGCGATATAAATGTGTGCTTTACTAGTATTCCAGGTGCGTCTTAAAACTGGCTCACCCCCCTATAACTTTTTTATTTTTTCAGATAAAAAAACGGGATTTGGTATGTTAGTATATGACATGAATTAGGATTGATTGATGTATTCAATTTTTTTAGTCAGTTTCTGTTTCACTCCTTTTTCATTCCTTAATTCATTCATAGTAAATGTTCAAAGTGACCAGTGTGACCACCATTCATTTCAATGTAGACATCTGATCTTCTTCTCCACGATCTGCGTACCCTGTGGAATATCCTTGTTGCTGTCCGAATTTGATTGGAACAGTCAATAATGCATTGCCGTAGTTGCTCTTCAGTATTTTTCGGCACTGAGAAAACCAAATATTTTTAAAACCAAAAAAGGTTATTTTATTTTTAAAGCAATAAGATGTTTTAAGAATCATGAAATTTTGATTTTCAAATTAATTATTTAATAACTACTTGGTTACTTTGGAACCGCCATAACTTTCATAAGTTTATGTTGATTAACCAGTTAGCAACCCATCAGAGCAAACTCTTTGTCTTCAATTTTCTCGAAAACCATCGCTCTGGGCGATGTGCAACAAGAGTACCTTTTTTGTAGAAAAGAGTATGAAGTTTTCAAAAAATGAACTCACATGAAAATGGTTGAATAATCTGAAAATGATGAATAAAAGTTTTTCATGTGGTCTAAACTAAGTCATGATTAACTTTATAAATTAACAATTCCTGATTTTGATCGGTATCAATTCCTTAATTAATAAAAATCGTTTCAGTTAGTGGTAGTCTAATTTCTCTTTTCTAGCTTAACTAAACCCTAGGCATATTTCTTTGAGTGTATAAGTGCTGGAACTTGTTGATATTCATTCTTTCGACCTTTTGAATAAGTTCGCGTGCAGCTTAATGGCTTGTATTTCAGTACGGGGGTGAATATTCTGACCAAGAGAAAATAGAGCAGATTCTAGAAAGCCTCTGGACGGTGTAGGTTCTGTGTAATAACGGCGAACAAAATGTCCGGCAGGGAAGACTTGGAGGATAGAGATCCAAAAAGGATTAACCAACATATTCAGGTAAAAATATATTAATTGTCTTTTTTTATCTTTTCCATATATCTATAAGAATAGGATTTCGATAAATAAGTAATAATTTCTTGTAATATTCCAATGAATTTGTTGTTTTTGATAAAAATTAATTAAGCTTGCAAAAAACTATGTTTATTTAAAACTGTATACCCAATAGCATTAACACGATACCAATGTGTCTTTTTCAGATACTAAAAAATTTCATATAATTTTTGTTTTCTATTTATTTATTTATTTTGCCATTTTTTGCTGAGATCTTATCATCTGATAATCTTAACACCGTGTACATTAATTTTCAGAATTAATTATTGTGCTGAGTTTAGAGGTAGAGAAATAAACTTTACTGAAAAATGTTATAACTTCCTTAAATTTATACAAGGGTACCAAAAAAATGCTGATCTATTTTTAAGGATTTATTTTATATAAAAACTTCGTTATTTCAAACACAACACCCTGTATTTTTTTAAATAAATCAATGCAGAGTCAAATGCTCTTTCAAACTATATTAAGGTTTCCTATACGTATCTAGCTCAGATTTTGAATAAAAAGCGATTTTTAAATAAAATGGCAATCCAGATGGCTTGTGTCGCCATGGCAATTTTCTATTGGCAGTTAGTAACTATTTTCAAAATCGACATTTGTTTATGAACATTATTATTTTTAATTTATACAAGTTCACTTAAATTTACCTACAATAGTTTAATAAGTAAGTATTCATTATTTTATCAAAAAAATTAAGCAGTATCTGCTGGCGGAACGAATGGATATATTACCAGTGATTTTATTTTGTGAGGAAAATTGCTTCTTGGCGTCAAGGGATTATGCTCAAAGATATCCAAATAGGAATCTTCCTGATAAGCGTTCCTTTGCAATACCCGCGGCAGCATTATACCTCTCCAACAACACATTGAAAGAAAAGCACTGACATTGATATTTGACTACCAAAAACATTTATTAATAAAATGTAATTTTCTATTTATTTTACACCAGGTGGAATGGGAAGACATTATTGGCGAGCCTCAAACAATCAGAAGCCCAGAATGCGCTTGGTGCTTGAGCAAGCATTGTTACCATTATTCCAAAACAGGATGTTTCGTTTGCTTATCAGTTTTATGCGCACCATTATATGCTTGTTGCGCTGGATTCTCGTTTGCCATACTACAGTTTGAGGTAAGCATTTATAAGTTAAAAATAAATTTAAGTATAGTTTTAGATTTTTCATGAGTAAGAAATAAAACAAATAAAAAATAATCATAATCAGATAGTTTGATGCTTTTTGGTTTTACCTCAATAGGTAATTGTTACCTATCACCTAGTAATTGTTAATTTTAAAGTTTTTAAGTTTAACTTGATATATGTCATTTTAACAGAACATCAACGATTTTTAATAGACCTATCTGTTAAAGAAACTAAAGTGTTCTTGAACAGTTGTAGTTAGATATTTTAAATAGTCTTTTCCCATACAGCACACTTCGTCCCAGGGACGTACATTTTATGTCCATTTTACGTCGGTACGTCCCGGGACCAATTAGGGACGTACTATGTACGTACAAAAGTGTACGTACATAGTACGTGCCCCATGTACGTACTATTTACGTACATTGTAGGACTTCACTACGGACGTACATGCGAGCAGGGTTCGGAAAACTACATGTTACTTTTAAAAACTACATAAATTACATTACATGTAGTTAATGTAGTTTATGTAGAGGGTGTAGTTTATGTAGCCTATGTCAAATATCAAAGGTTTGAGGTGAGGTTATAATAAGTTGAAGCTTTAAGAAAACATAAGAAATATGGCTTTAAATTTAATATTTACACATCATATTATCTCTATTACACCTCATACAAAGGAAAATTATTCATAATATCAATACATAGTTTATTAACGTAGTTTTCAAGTAGTTAATGTACGGGAAAAGACGTAGTTTTTGAAGAAAAACTACACGTAGTTAATCAGGTAAATTACGTCTTAATTAACTACTTCCGAACCCTGTACGGACGTACATGTGAGTACGTACTACGTACGTATCTTGAAAATTTTGTAAACGCATTACAAAAATGTTATTTAATTTTAATATCATGACTGGATTATTTTGGTCAGATATACCCAATAATAATGAATGGACTGGATCAGTGGATCTTTTCTAGGCTAACGTTAATTCAAGTCACTCTAACCTATCTCTACTTCTTTTATTAATAAATCTAACCCGACCGCTATAAAAAAATGATTTCCTAAATTATCCAGTGACCATAATGCATGACAGCCTTTGAAGAAATCTCATGGGTTAAAAATGCAATATATTATGCAATCGAGCCTAACAGGAAAATTATGCAGTCCTATGTTTAAATTTCCCGCTAAGTTATTCGTTCACATTCGAGTCTTGTCGGAATCGGAAGTCGGGCGGTTTCTAATTGCGTTTTCGATTGGCAGAGCTAGAGCGCACGTGCGCACTCAGTGTAGTTCCATCTTTTATTAATCAACGTAAAAAAATAAAAACAATACACTGAGTGCGCACCTACTCCGATCCAGTTTTCGATTGTGTATTGTGTTGTGTGTCATGGTGGCCGTAGGTTGTTTCGCTTCCACCTTGTTTTCTTTTGTTGTTGCCTTCGTTGCTCGTTGTTTCAAGGTAAGTTAAAGTGTAATAATATAATGTGACTATTTCACCTAGCACAGTCACAACCTCGAATGATTGAGAATCGGTTCATTCAATTATTTTTAAATATCTATCAACATCCAATAAAAGACAGAGTGCGCGAAGGGTGTAGTTGCCGGATCGAAACCAGACTCAGGGGTGTATCAAGACATAAGGGATGACCCTGTACCTGAGTTTTTGTATTAATAAATATTTTAAGCTGACTTCCACTGAATTATTTCTAATTAAATTCCTAGGTCGTATACGTCGTTGAAAAATGTACGTCCATAGTACGTACATTGTACGTACTTTCGATCATTTTACGTCCAGTTTTGGTCCGGAACAAAACATAAAATGTACGTACCTGGAATGTACGTACATGCGACGTACATAGAACGTACATCGCCACGTCCCAGGGACGTACAGAGCGTTGGAAAATGTACGTCCCCAGTGCGTACATAGTACGTACCTGTACGTACTTGTACGTACCAGGGACCTGACGTTCGTCCCAACATTACGTATCAGGTACGTACATAGTACGTACCGTGGCTGTATGGGTTTATTGTTCTTTCTGCGTTTTTTGCTTCCGATGACCGGGAGGACCTCCTGCAACGTTAAGCATTTTTTGTCCTTTAGTCAAATTTGTATTATTAGTAAAATACAGTTGACAAATTGGTCTCTAATAACTGTTTTATCTTGCAGATGTTCTTACAGTGGCAAAATACTCAGACCAGAGACAGAGATAATTCTTTTTTTTAATTTCAGCACATTTGGTGTTCAGGACCCTGCCTAATCCTACTGAAAATATCTTGTGGTACAATAAAGAAATTTCTCCAATTATGTACAGAGTCAATCATGATTCCTATTATGGAGGCCATAGGATATCTCTTCTCAAAGATTCACATCAGGAAATCAAACATAAGCAGTGATCATTTAGACCAGATAGACATAGAAAAAAAGAAAGTTCAAATAGTCTAATGATAGGTTTGAAAGTTATAACAACTGCGTTCTTCCGTTTAACCACTGCTTCTCTTGCATAAAAAATATCAAAAATAAAATAATAAATACTGATGGCTAGTCAATACATATCACAGCATTTATGTATATTTTTATTATGTATTTCATATAATATATGTATTTACCTCAATAATCTTAAAAGTTATTTAGATTAGAGATTTTTTAATATTATCTATAAAAGTAAAATATATAAAATTGTTTTATATTTATATACTCTACTGTTTATATATACTACCTACTAATAGTGTGTAGTCTAATGTATAGTTGCCAGTATAAAGTACCCATGAAATATACGTAGTTTTTAAGTTTATAATCCTTTTGCAGAAAAGCAATTACAAGAATGGCCATAGAACAGTTAACCTAATAGGACTGCTCATTCAGCCAAAAGTGTCCGCCAGGTGCATGCGAAAACTATTCGCTTTGTGACGTCATTGTAGTCCTTGTTATGGTTATTAGTCCTTATCCGGCAACCAATAATACATACACGTGCATTATTGGTTGCCGAATGCAAAACGTTCATTATTTAGTTTATTTATTTAAACACCTTATATGTATGCAGTAAAGAAAATTAACTGTATAAATCTTATTAAATACTCGGATAATGCATTTTTAAGAACAGCAGTTCCCAGCATCACCTTTTGCAAACATTCTTTTTAGAGTACTTCCATATTTTGCTTTAAAATAATTAATAAACAAAATCGTGGGCACTTAGTAAGCACTTTGTCACAATCCACAACACAAAATGAACGTATTTATAGACTCTATAGCTCTAAAAACTTTAAAGACACCCTTTTCACATTTAAAATTGACAAAATAATTAACTCAAAATTTCTCAGCTGTTATTTTTATAAGTTTACCATAGGCAACTAATAATACACACTATCATGACAAGGCTTTGACAAGGACTACAATGACGTCACAACTGTCAGCTGAAGCGCGGAAAGAGGCGAACGTACGTCTTATGAGGATGAGCAATCCTATTAGCAGGTGGATGACACGGTTCTTATGGGAGAACTGGAAATGGTTGAAAACTTGACTACAAGCGATTTTCTAGGAATCTTCCTTACCGATAAATTATTGACAAGAGTGACAGATAAAACCTTGACATTCTTTCAGTATAACTGTTCATCTCTTTTTCTTTCTAAAGTGTGCGTTGAAAGGAGACAAAAACAATTTTTGTAACCCATAATTTGTTATTCGAACACCACTTTTCTCCTTGTCGGGTCGTTGACGTTGACTTGTCGCCATTTTATTTCTTTTGTTTACACGCTGCAGTTTGCTTTGTAAATTGAATACATAAATTATTTAGGCAAATATAGGTTTTTGATAAAACTCCTTGGACTAACGTGTTGGTAAGTGTTGATAAATAAGTTTTTTTTCATCTTAACATGCTCATTGTCATTCTCCTGATTTAGGTGACAGAAAAGGATCATCAAATCAAATTGAATTTTATATTTTTTCATCCCAGGACCGATAATAAAATATATATTTTATGGATACCTTCTAAATATCAACGAGATGAGCCATCGGAAGAAAGGGACCATAGTACAAAACAGAAAGGTGATCTTTTTTCTTTCCACTTAGGATATTGAAATTATTATATACTGTAGTCGTGTTTGGCATTATGCTCTTAGAAATATAGGTAAACAAAGAAGAACAGATATAAAGCATCCCAGAGGAAAAGAGAGGCAATACCTGTACTCTCTCTCTGATATTTGTGAAAGTTACGGCAAAGTATTGTTGTAAATGTCATCTTTTTAATCGACCTGAAAACTTCGAGCAAAAAGATGACACTTTCAACAAAACCCTGACAGATATCAGAGACGATACAGGTTTTTCCTCTCTTTTTCCCTGGAATACTTTTAATTTATTATTCTTTGTTTATCTAGATTTCTCAGAGCACTATGAACGAACTCAGCTTGTATGTTTGAAATAATCGTCCAGTTGGCTTCAAAATGATGATCGATGACATTTCCTATATAATTTTACTTTCAAAATTATGATATATATCGTCATTTCTAAGCCATCTATGACGCCATTTTTTTCAGTTTTGTTATAATTAATTTTGTCTCTTGATCTACTTGTAACATTATTTTTTAATTTTATTAATTTATTGTGGTGAAATTAATTTCTGTTGTATATTTGATATTGATATTAAACATATTTTTAAAAAATGGTGTATTTTTTGTGTTTTTATCTATGTCATAATTAAAAATAAATGAAGAATTAAAATTTTTTATTTTTTTTAAACTTCCCGCCATGCGTGACAATCTAGTCCGTAGTTCCTACAAGCGATATTGGGGGCGCTAGTAGCAGTAGACTTGTCAACAGTGTCAAATTTAAACGTCAATTTCACTTTCCAATATTTAGCAAGGCGCTCGCACTTCTCCTTGTGTATGTGTTTTGTGCCTATTAGGGATGGCAGAAAAAAATAATAAATCGATATATCGTATCGAACGATATATCGTAATGCATGTATCGATGTCGATATATATCGGACAGAATATATCGATATATACCATATATCGATACATTTTTATGAAAGTAAAAATTAAAGAAAAAACGGGCTTAAAGGATTCTTATATTTGGATAATAAACATTTATTAGTTATGTCATAACTCCTAGTTAGTATTTAGTTTGTTATTAAAATTGAAAGACACGCCCAATAGTAAGAAAATAACACAAATAACATAAACATTAAGATCTAGGTTAATATCGTATGATCGAAAAAAAACGGCGTCAGCGATGGCTATGAAATGAAGATCGCTGTCATTTTACATGTAAATTTATATGGGAAATGTCATCGATCGTTATTTCCCAGCCAACTGGACGCCGTTTTTTTTCGATCATACGGTAGGTACTAAACTGAAAACCATTCAGCTGATGCTGACAATCTGTCAACACCAGCACAGCACTATACTATTATTTTAATATTAAAATATTAATTAAATTATAAACATAACAAACTAAAATGAAAATTTTTCCGGAAGAGATCCTAGGAAAAGAAGTTTCGATAGTATTTCCCCAGTTAACCGATTACGGTTTTTCGTCATCGTTGCTCCAGCTTTTGAGAACAACCGCTCACTGGGAACTGAAGTGGCTACCACACTTATGTATTTTTGCGCCAGTTTATAAAGATTGGGATATACTGTTTTCATTTCATCCCATATTTCCAGTGGATCTTCTTTTATACTTCTGACTGGCACAGATAAATATTGATTTAATTCGTCAAACTTTTCTCCAGTTTTTCTGCTCTTTTTTGTATGTGCAATATTTTTGTGATGGGCCCACAAGTCAAAAGTCGCCTGCTCTTCTTTATCTTTATAAGAAAGATCAGAAGATGAAGAAGACCGATCTTGTCCATATGTCTGTCGTTACAGTGAAATGGTTTATATTCTTTATCATGGTTTTGAATGCCCCTGACATGACCTCAAACTGTTTATCGACTCTATCTTTTATAGTATTTCTAGTTGGAACTCTATACATAGGGGCCAATTCTTTCATTAAATTAACAAATCCTTTGCCTTCCACAACGTTAAATGGCATGTTATCATTGGTTTGGTTTGGAAATGGTTTGGATGACAAAAGACAACTGACATATTGCATGACAATTGACAATTCAATGTCCAGTTATAGAATTGGCTATACTAATATAGATATATTTTTCGAAGTATCGATATATTTTTCGATATATCGCAAAAGACGTATCGATATATTTTTATCGATATATATTCAAAATAAATCGATATATCATATATATCGATATATCGTTGCCATCCCTAGTGCCTATTAGTTTACCGTTCTTGGGCTACACCGGTCGACAACTTCACATTCTCGACATCTTCGTATAGGTTTTGATCATAACACTGGTTTTGAAATCGACCTCGGTTTTTGGAAAACGAGATAAAAAAGGAATAGTCTTAATTAATAAATTTGATAACAATAGTAATGTCGTGTCGGTATTTATTTTTATCGTTTATTCAAGCGCCGACTTTAACACCGATGTCGAGATCAACACCGGTGTCGATATGAACACCAATATCGAGACCAATACCGGTGTTGTAGATTAACACCTATGTTGACACCGGTACACCCACTGAAAAATCAGTTGTCATCAACACGTAAAACCGGTGTTGATGACATCAACTGACGAATCTCAACACCGAACAGGTATAGTTTGGACCTCTCCCCAATCGCATGAGGAAAATTCATTCCCTATTTGTTTAGGAATACAGATGAAACAGAAACTATATATAAATCTGCCGCGTAAAACGAGAGACTCCTGTATGTTATACCGTTGTTATACCTATCAAGTTAGAGATTACAGTGTGAGACGCTCACTTTTTTGTGTGTATTTTTATATTTATACAACAATTTAGATATTGCAATTGTTTAGAAACTTCTAATACAAAATTAAGCAGAAAGGTAATGGTGTGGATCCGGTGGCTGACCTTGAAACGAGTTTTTGCTGCATATAGTCACAGACACTACGCATGCGCACATCTTCGATGTTGCCAGATTGCAAGTTATTTTGAAATTATTTTCAGTAGAAAACAAATATGTGCTTTTCAGTGTTTTTTGTCAATATATAGCGTATGATCGAAAAAACGGCGTCCAGTTGACTGGGAAATGACGATTGAGGACATTTCCCATATAAAATGACATCGATCTTCATTTCAAGTCATCGCTGACGCTATTTTTTTCAATCATAGTACGCGGTATATTATTTATATTATTATTTTAATATTTTGCACAACACGTGAACGCTTATATTATGTATTTTCATAGTCAATAAAATTAAATAGAAATAAAACTCTAGATTCCTATAATTAATCTAATTGCTCTAGATTATTATGCTACGTTTAAAAAGTGCATTTTTTTAAAAATTCGGGAAATTAAAAGGGATATGTCCAAGTTTTTTCTTTTTTTTAAATTTTTAAATGCTGTAGCTCCATGTCATGTTCATAATAGTTTTTTTACATTCCATCAAAACTACGGAGGCCTTAAAAAACCTTTTAGCCTCCGTAATTAAAATTGTAGAATCGGCTTCAGCAACATTAACAGTTACCTTGTTTAATTCTGCTTATACATATATTGCATTAATTTTATGCTACCTTAAGATCTCTCTATTCTTACACCTAATTTATGTGATTTTCTTAGCATAATATGATTTATAAACCATATTTTTCCTAATGGAAGGACGGAATAGGATATGCAAAATTAAGATATTTTAACATTTATTTTCCAGAAAAAGCATAATATAGTACCGTATGATCGAAAAAAAAACAGCGTCCAGTTGGCTTGAAAATGACGATCGATGATATTTCCCATATAATTTTACATATAAAATGACAGCGATCTTCATTTCATAGCCATCGTTGACGCCGTTTTTATTCGATCATACGGTATTAAGATTAAGACATAACAAATATTATAAAAAAGATCTTAATATAAATCACAAACTAAGTCTTAATTTGGTCTTGTATAAACACAGGTATAAAACTAATAAGATCAAAACTCAACCTTCACCATATTGTCAAGATTTGGCATTATAGGAAACAAGAAATTACAGTAAATTAAGAAAAGAATATCAAAGTACACGATAATAAATACTGTAATGTATTGTACGACACAAACCATCTCCCTTCTAAAGAGAAAAAAGATAAAACATAAAGCTTATTTTAGTCTTATCAACACACTCTTTGATAAAATATATGTCTAAAACTGCTATTAATCCACTAACTTGATATTTCTAAGAAATTATGATACAAACATTATAATCAAAGTATATTATATTAGTAACATTATAGGTAAATGTTACCTCTATCTCCCATTGACGTGTATTGTTCTATAAGACTCGTCATGGTAGTATTTCAAAACATCAATACATATAATCAAAACTATTGTTGCCTGTAAATAACTAGAAATTAAATAACTTGAAAGAAATAAAATAATTCTAATAAGTTTAAAACCATTAAGAAAAAATCCGTAAATGATAATTTTTAATTCTAAATATATAAATAAATGTTATTATTATTACAATTTTATATATTCATAATACTTTAATTTCACAATCTTCATTATCCTTCTTACCTTAAATTTGGATATCAAGTTAAATCTGAAATTATAAAATTAATTATAGAATTTGTTTAAAAAAAACTTTAGACTTTAAAAAAAATTATTGATTAACACTTTAAAAAAAAACTACAAATAATTCGAAAATAAACTGCAATTTGGCAACATCGACGATGTGCGCTTGCGTAGTATCGATGATCAAATGCAGCAAATATGGGCTTCAAGGTCAGCCACCGGATCCACACCATTACCAGCAGAAATATTCTATTTGTAACAATTTCATTTCAAAGGTGTGTCAAGTTTCATGTTTTTGTCACTGTTAACTTGAACCACCCTCTATATTCATTATGATCTAAGTATGTAAATATACAGGGTGTCTCAGAAATAAGTGCAAGTATTTTAACTGATAGTATAGTTCAACCGCAGAAACACGTCTGAGGGTTTTTTTCGCGAAAAAAATTTTTTGGAAATTTTTTTAGTTAAACATAATTTCTTGATAATATGGCAAAATAAGTGGTAGATTAAATTTACAAGAAACATAATCCAGAAAAGATCCAGTGGTTCTCAAAATTTTAGCAAAAAATCATTTTTTTTGGAAATTTTCAAAGTAAAATAACTCCGTTATTTGAAAAACTATAAAGAGAAAATATGTTTCTTTTATTGAGATCTACCATCCCTTAAAATACTTGCACTTATTTCTGGGACACCCTGTATTGGTATTCAATCTAATTAATTCTAGAATTTAAGAAATAAGAAGTCTCAGACATGTAGGTATACGTAAATATTACAAAGTATTAATGACTTTTAATCTATAATAATTATCTTATCATTTACATGCGTACACACTTCTCTTATATTGTTTATATTCCTAGGATTGATCTAAGAAACAGGATTTGTTTAAAAATGTTTGTTCATGTTAGATACATAGTTCGTAAGTAAACTTTCATCAATTTTTTTCTGCACATCTCTTTGAATCTAACTGTTCCACAGCCTACAGCCTTATGTATTGGATTCCTATAATTATTTTAAAAAATTAAGTTATATGTTATACTACAAATAAGTTATTTAAGTATGTGTAAATTCATTTACACACTCTAGATTAACTTGAAATATATCCTGGGGATAGACATAAGCAAAATAAAGCACTATTTCATCACAATATACCAAAACACTTTACTTAAACAAAAGTAGTGTTTCGGTGTATACGATTCGGTGGTAACTTACTGTTTTATTTTCTTGATTTAGAAAAGTTACTTCATTTTTGTGAGACAATTTTGTTTTGATTGAAACAAATTTTAACCTATTTTTTCTGTACTTTTAACTTTATTAGTTTGGTTTATAAACATTTAAACATACCTATTAGTCATAATATTTAAGCTAAATTTTACTGACAGTTGGTGACGATTATAAAAACAACAAATTCCAAATATTCATTGTTTTATCTCAAGTATAATTATTATAACGATTTTCTACCACGAATTAGGGATAAGATTTTTATCCGTATACATATAGTATACCGAATCTGTGATTATACGACCTGTGGGGTGGAAATGTGCATTATTTAAAATTATTGTAAAATATACAGGGAGTTTCAGAACTAAGATCCATACCAAAATTATATTTTTTCTTATGGGACACCCGGCATTTTATTTCACTTTTGGATTCTTGGACTTAAAAAAGGCATTTATTATAACGGTTAAATATATGTTTAAAAACTTTGAGATGTTTTAAGATATTTAACTATCAGTGCTATAGTAGTAAGGATTATCAATTCCAATAAGTCAAAGAACTACTTCTTCGATTTTCTTGATAAAGTATTGATATTGTTGCGGACCCGTGTGGACTCGACCTAACCTAACAATATGTCCCGCCAAAAATAATACTACCTTACACAGAGTGTCTAAAAATTTATTTTAAATAATTATTAGCTTCAAACGGCAATAACTTGTTTAATTTAAATGGAACACCCTGTATATTTTACGAGAATCAAATGCACAATTTAATTGTCTATCAAATTATATTATATCATTTTTTACCTATTTCTTTAAGTTTCCGTAGAAAATGCATTTTCTTGTAATTTAGAACTTATTTATCAATATACTCATGGACTATTGACATTTTAGATTATTTTTAAAGATGTACCAAATTTTTAAAGAGTACAGATACTAATATTATCGATATAATTCGTTTATTTCATTAAAAAGTAAAAAAAAAACTGTTTAAATATTTGTTAAAGAGGACCAATTAATATGAATCCAGTATTCAAACTACGTTAACTGACTGTTTGCGTTGATTAATAATAATTGCTCCAAATACTAAAAAACTGAATTTTGTATGGGCATTAGACAGTGTGATAAAAAGTAACACCTTAAAAATGATATTTCATTTTTTAATAAATGCTTATTTATAACAACAGAGACTTTAATTTGATAACTTATTATTATATTGATTTCTGACTCAAATCCACATTTATTTATAATAATTTATTAACGAACACAATTAAGTATGTAATTAATTAGTATATGGGCGGAAATAATGGTGTTATATTTAATTAATGGTATACTCTTTTATAAAGATTTAAATAGTTTTCTTTTGCATACATATGGGTTAGTAATATTATCGTTTTGCTAAAAACGATAATATTACTAGTCTGTACATTTTGTATATTTGTTGCTTTAAAAACAATCTAAAATGTCAATATTCCATGGATATATTGATAAATGAGGTCTAAATTATAAGAAAATGCATTTTCTACGAAAACTTGAAGGGATAGGTAAAAAATGGTATAATACAATTTGATAGACAATTTAATTGTGCATCTGATACTTCTAAAATATACAGGGCATTCCATTTAAATTAAAGAAATTATTGCCGTTTGAAGCTAATAACACCTAATAATTATTTAAAATAAATTTTTAGACACTCTGTATAAGGTAGTATTATTTTTATTATTGCAACACAATAACTGATCAATAAATAAACTTCATTAAATATTTAGTATTAAAAACATTGATACCCTTGGAGAAATGAAGCTTTAAAATTTTTACTACAATTTCACAAAATTGAAAATATTTCAAAAACGGTAAGGTTTAAGTATAATAAACCTTAATCAAATTTACCTTTATTTTAATCGTAGAAACTAAAAATGTAATAATATACAGGGTGTTCCATTTAAAAAAATACAACTTTGATATTTTTTATTTATTTGGGACACTCTGTATCTTGTAAAAATATTTTTAAATTGTAGCTCTAATAGTCCTTCAACGAACCCAAAATTTACAATTTGTAAAAATCTCATCGTTTAGCTACAATACTCCGTGTCGTATGTGGTGAACAACCCTGTATACTTTATTTAAAATAATATAAATGTTCAATAATTTCAAATCAAAATGTAATTCATAAAAACGTAGACAGTTTGCTGATCTTTTCTATATCTATATTTGCTTAATCTTTTCAAAATATTTTTTTAACGGGGATTTGGGAATTCCACTTCAGTATAACGATTAAGACACAATAAAAAAATGTATGTATCTCAATGATTGATAATAATGGATTTTTTTTCAATAGAATGTATGAGATGAAGCGTTCTAGTGAGAAAGATAATCTATTAAAACACCAAGAAAGAAATATTTAAAATAACTACATTTTTTTTCTAGTGGTACTCCTCGTCAAACAATCACTTGGTTATGTCTTGATACAAAGGGCAGACAATTCTTTATTAAATGTTGAGACAAGTTCTGATCGAAGTGATAATACAAATATCACGCTATTTGATCTATGCCTAGATGAAAATGGAGAAAGGCTATTAGGACCGGTTGAATTTAAAGATGACTGCAGGTAATTTATGTATGAGATTACTTAAAAGATATATATTTTTTTAATATCTTTCAACAAATCAGATTAATAGTGTATATTTAAATTATTATGAAAATAAGAGAGAAGAATTTATAAATACACATTTACATTATCATGGATTGTTTGTTATAAAAATGTTTATAACAAGCACTTTACAGATAAAATATAGTAAATAAAAAGGGTTGAGGAAAGTATCCATAATACCGGGTCTTCTAGTATAAAGGATAATAATAAGCTTTTTTCGTTTTCCTGTTATTACCGATTCTGAACCGTCCTGGAACTCTGCAGCGCATGCGCAAATGAAATAATGTCAGGATGTAACTAACGGACAGTTCTAGGATCGTTCAGAATCGGTAATAACAGGAAAACGAAAAAAGCTATAGATAATTTTTATAATTCGATTCTAAAACTGTGGTTATATATCATTTTTTAATTAAATTTTCATCTACTCTACAGGGTGAGTCTTAAATGAGTTCAAATATTTTCAGGGCTGGTAGATCTCGATAAAAGAAACATATTTTTTCTTTACCGTTTTTCAAATAAGTCCAAAATAACCGAGATATTTTATTTTGAAAATTTTCAAAAAAATTATTTTTTGCTTAAAGGAAGCTTAAGAACGACTGGGTCTTTTCTCGGTTTTATTTCTTGTAAATTTAATCTACTACATATGTTGCCATATTATCAAGAAATTATTTTCTTTTTCGCCAAAATAAAACCTCATAATTGTCTTACTGGAGTCGAAATATCCCAAGCAGCATTTTCACGACTTGCGACCACATGTTTACTAAACACAACGTTGGATTAGTTACAAAATATAGTTAGCTCCGTACCTTGGGTATTAAAATTAATGTAAACGTTGTTGTAACGTTGTGCCGACGTTGAACTAGTACTACTACGTCGAATAAACGTTGTCTTGTAACCTTTTTTGCTTAAGTGATCTTTAGATGATTCGGACAACGTAGTTACAATGTTGGGCAATAAAGAGTTTTTTGACGTCACTTTTAGGACCTATTCCAACGTTATGCAAACGTCGTCTGTTTTACTAATTCCAACGTTGTTTACAAACAAAGCTTTATTGTACAAAAAGCCAAATTTTCCATGTATATTCTTTTTGTAATTTTAAAGACTTAAATTTTTTTGAATTGTATTATTTGTATTGTGTATTTTTTGTTGTTTGTATTTTTTTTGTGATTTTGTTGTTTGTGAGTGCTTTGTCGATGAAGCTGTTTTGGCTTTTTGTACAATAAAGCTTTGTTTGTTTAGATTTCCTTATTCTTACGTTGGTAGGACGTCGAGCCACTACCTTTTTGCAACTGAATTGAACCATAACCTTAAATCTTAAATTTTCACTTCATTGTTCTGTTCAGCCAGACAGTTCAGTGCTGTTTTTGTTTTTATAAAAAAAACTTAATTAAAATGGGACATAAGAAAGGTACATATAAAACTAAATTTAAATATACTTTATCCACTCCCTCGTTTGTTTAGAATATAGAGGGCGGCACAAGCTAGACTCTAGCATGACTAAATTAGGCAATCTTGCGACTAGTATACTTCCTGTTAGGGTTGAACTGCGACTTTATTAGTCCAGGTATGCGACTACTCGAACTACAACATCATAATCTCCAAAACAACAAAGTGAAAGCCGCCATGTTGTTGAATAAGAAAATGTCTCGTTCCTAAAATAGCAATTCCTGCTTTTTGAATACATTAACTTGAAATATTTGACCCTAAACAACACGCGGAAACAATTTTTTCGACTGCGAATAAATTATTCTCATTTTACTAAAAAAAAATTCAAGAAATTTTTTGAAACTTCTTTAATTTTAAGGCCCATTAGTATTTTTCAAAGTAGAAACAATACATTTATCAATAAAGTTGTTTGCGTTTAACTTTTTTGCCTTGGGTAACGAGTTACAGAGTTGGTTAAAGCTTTTTATAATTATGATCTTCAAACATCCTCCACACTTAAATACCTTTGTTTTGTTTTCCTTTACTGCCATCTGGCATATGTTTCTAACTAAATCATAAAAATAATATTTTTACTATAATTATCCCAATTTAGGATAAACCGCGAGTAGACGCCATATTATTATAGTTTTGTATTTCTGTGAATTAGGATTTTAAACAACGTTGCAGTTTGTACTAAATTAGGCTGCTAGCCAACGTCGGTATCCAATGTCGTTTCGACCCAAAAATTATTCTCCAAACTAGTGCAGACTAGGTAAGGGTGGGCACGAGGTTGTGCCGACGTTGCGCCCCGACGTTTGGTCGCGTGACACAACGTTGTTCCGACGTCCAAATGCTGCTTGGGAACCACTATAAAATGATGTGCTCGTTGATAAAGAGATTTTATTATACTGAATGATTAGAACTGTAATGTAGATACTGTCCTCTGTAAATTATTATTTTTTATTATTTCCAAGGAAAAAAGTGTACAACCTTTAAATAAACTTTAATATATTGTTGTTGTAATAATACTTATATGTTAAGGTGGAATTTATGATATAGGTAGTCCATTAAAAGATTCAAATGTAACAATTTTTTACAGGAAATTTGTTATGTGCGCTACTGATACCGCAGCAATAATGGACTGCAGTGAAGACTTGTTATTCAACAGAGATTTAAAGAACTGTGATTTTCCAAGAAATTCACATTGTATTGAGTTTGTATCCAAAAACAATTCAAGACTCGTCATTCCAGCAGATGAAATCGAATGGTAATCATAAGGATGTTATCTGGGACTATTATATTAATTTGGACAATGATTTAATTTAATCAAATATAGTATTATTACATTGTATAGTATATTGCAAGTTGAATAAATACTCGAAACAAATAAAAACTACAATTAAAAACTATTTATTCCTGCGTATAGATTATATATTATATTTGTAAAATAATAATAAGGATATTTATTTAATTTTTAATAAACAATATATTTATAATTAGTTTTTCCTTTTTAAAATTATTTTTACAGTTAATTTAAATCACAAACCTACAGCTTTTAGCAAATAAATTTCTAATTCAACAATCAGGGTTGGAAGAACCGGTACAGTTATGATACAAGAGCTGGCACTTATTGTTACGTTGGTACAGCAAATAAACTATGAACCATACAAATGCAGCAAATGTTTTACAATATACAAATAATGAATAGGTACATAAGATAATGGGTAAAATGTAAAATTAGGGCACATTAGGTTTCGAGAAGTATTATTTTTGCTAGGTTTGTCACTTTTATTTAAACTTGACGATGACATTTCGAGACCATCGAAACCATCTGGAAACGATGTACAGATGACAAGGGTATACCACCCCGTATTCAAAATCATTTGCCGGTCCGTAGGAAAAGGGCCAACTTCAAAAAACCGCTGTTTCTCTTGAAAATTAACAGAAAAAAATTTGTAGCTCATTTATTAAGGGTTGTGCCGCAACGAGACCACCTGGAAACGATGTACAGATGACAAGGGTACACCACCCCGTATTCAAAATCATTTGCCGGTCCGTAGGAAAAGGGCCAAGTTCAAAAAACCGCTGTTTCTCTTGAAAATTAACAGAAAAAAATGTGTAGCTCATTTATTAAGGGTTGTGCTGCAACGAGACCATCTGGAAACGATGTACACATGACAAGGGTACGCCACCCCGTATTCAAAATCATTTATTAAGGGTTTTGCTGCAACGAGACCATCTGGAAACGATGTACACATGACAAGGGTACGCCTCCCCGTATTCAAAATCATTTGCCGGTCCGTAGGGAAAGGGTCAAGTACAAAAAAACGCTGTTAAAATTAACAGAAAAAAATTTGTAGCTCATTTATTAAGGGTTGTGCCGCAACGAGACCACCTGGAAACGATGTACAGATGACAAGGGTACACCACCCCGTATTCAAAATCATTTGCCGGTCCGTAGGAAAAGGGCCAAGTTCAAAAAACCGCTGTTTCTCTTGAAAATTAACAGAAAAAAATGTGTAGCTCATTTATTAAGGGTTGTGCTGCAACGAGACCATCTGGAAACGATGTACACATGACAAGGGTACGCCACCCCGTATTCAAAATCATTTATTAAGGGTTTTGCTGCAACGAGCCCATCTGGAAACGATGTACACATGACAAGGGTACGCCACCCCGTATTCAAAATCATTTGCCGGTCCGCAGGAAAAGGGCCAAGTACAAAAAACCGCTGTTTCTCTTGAAAATTAACAGAAAAAAATTTGTAGCTCATTTATTAAGGGTTGTGCCGCAACGAGACCACCTGGAAACGATGTACAGATGACAAGGGTACACCACCCCGTATTCAAAATCATTTGCCGGTCCGTAGGGAAAGGGCCAAGTTCAAAAAACCGCTGTTTCTCTTGAAAATTAACAGAAAAAAAATTGTAGCTCATTTATTAAGGGTTGTGCCGCAACGAGACCACCTGGAAACGATGTACAGATGACAAGGGTACACCACCCCGTATTCAAAACCATTTGTCGGTCCGTAGGGAAAGGGCCAGAATCAAAAAACCGCTGATTTTCTTGAAAATTAACAGAAAAAAAATTGTAGCTCATTTATTAAGGGTTGTGCCGCAACGAGTCCATCTGGAAACGATGTACAGATGACAAGGGTACACCACCCAGTATTCAAAATCATTTGCCGGTCCGTAGGAAAAGGGCCAAGTTCAAAAAACCGCTGTTTCTCTTGAAAATTAACAGAAAAAAAATTGTAGCTCATTTATTAAAGGTTGTGCCGCAACGAATCCATCTGGAAACGATGTACAGATGACAAGGGTACACCACCCCATGTGCAAAACCATTTGCCGGTCCGTAGGAAAAGGGCCAAGTTCAAAAAACCGCTGTTTCTCTTGAAAATTAACAGAAAAAAAATTGTAGCTCATTTATTAAGGGTTGTGCCGCAACGAGACCGTCTGGAAACGATGTACAGACATGTACACCACCCGTATTCAAAACCATTTGCCGGTGTCCGTGGGGTCAGGTCCAAAAAAAACCGCTGTTTTTCTCTGAAAATTAACAGAAAAAAATTGTAGCTCAATATTGTTGTGCCGCAACGAGTCCATCTGGAAACCGTACCGCAGGTAAATCACCCATATTCAAAATCATTAGCCGGTCCGTTGAAAAGCAGAAAGTTCAAAAACTGCCTGAACTGATTTACAGAACAGTCCGGTGTTTCAGCACAATAAACCGTGCTGCTGGTCCTGGGTATTAACAGAAAAAACAGCCTCATTTGCCGTGTCGCAACGCCTGAATGACAAGGTACACCACCTCGTATTCAAGCTCATTTGCCGTGTCCGCTCAAAAAACCGTTTTCTTTGAAATAATTTAGCAGATTTAAACACGCGATCATTTACCATTAAAGCCGATCGCCGCTCAACCATACTATCAGAAGCATTTACAGATGACACGAGTTCAGTCTGAAACGTGTTGAAGCCAAGCTCAAATATCTCATTTCCGTGAAAGGGTAATGTTCAAAAAAACCGCTCAAAATTTCGTGGAACAGCAGTCATTTACAGCTGGCAGCCGCAGCCTGAACACGATGACACGACAGTATACCCCCCGCAGCTCAAAATTTGCCGGTCCGAAAAATAAAACCGTTGCTTTTTCTGAACCGTTTAACAGCTTAACTCATTTATTAAGGGTTGTGGCAAAGAGCCGCCACGAAACGATGTACAGATGAAGGGTAACACTCCAGTATTCACCCAGCATTTGCCGGTCCGTAGAAAGGGTCCGCTGCCTTTTCTGAAGAGAAGCCGCAGCTCATTTGCCGCAACGATGAACCGCCTGAAGCCAAACATAAGCTCCGTGTTGGTTTAAAGCGAAACCGAGTTCTTGAAACAGCTCAGTAGTTGCAGGCTGCGGTGCGGCCACGATATCAGGCAGATGACGGTTACAGACCACCTCGTATTCAAATTTTGCCGGTCCGTAGGGTGCCAAAATCAAAAAAACCGCTTTTTCTGAGAATAACAGAAAAATCTATTCGGAACATGATAGAGATCAATTCAGTATTCAAATCATTGTCCGGTGCCGTTCTTGCTCAAAACCGCCAGCTTTTTTCTGGAAGGAACCAGCTCATTTACAGCTGCCTGACGGAACGATGGGCAGATGACAGCACCACTGCCGTTGTCGGTAGTCCAGCTCAAAAAACCGTTGTTTTTCTTGAATTAACAGAAAAAAATTGTAGCTCTCGTTTAGAGTTGTGCCGCAATGAGTCGAGCCTGAACGATGCAGATGACAAGGGTACACACACCCGTATTCAAAATATTTGCGGTCCGTGCGAGGCTGAGTTCAAAAAACCGCTTAAGCTTCTTCAACAGAAAAAAATTGTAGCTCATTTAGCAGTTGTGCCGCACGAGTTCCACATGAAACGATGTACAGAGACCACTTCAGGGTCCAGCCACCCCTGCTTTTTCTGAAGCGAACCAGTTGCCAGTCTCATTGGGTTGTGCCGCCGAACACGGAATGATGTATTGCATTTGTCCGGCAGACCACAATACAAACTGAAATTGCAGCGCCGGTTGCTAAGGTGTTGTTGCCTGCAGATCCATTGAAATATAGAGGATTGTAGCTCATTTAAAGAGGCGATGTTGCGCCACCGCAGTTCGTATTTGAAACGATGCTGTCCAGCGCTGCGCCATTTGCCGGTGCTCAGGAAATAGGTTGCAACCGCCAGCTCACGGCCGTGCAGCCAGCGATTTATCAAGGCAGATCACCCCGTATTCAAACATATTGCCGGTCCGCAGGAAAAGGTTCAAAAACCGCTGTTTTTGTGGCCAGCTGTGCACGAGCTGGAATTAGACAGCCGCAACTTACCTGGAACGATGGCCGGTCCAGGAGGGTTCCGCCATAACCGTGCCGGTTCCGTCACCATGTACAGTTTTCAAGAGTATACCAGGAATTGTACAAATCATTGCCGCACCGTAGGAAGCTGTACCCACATGCCGGTTCAGTGGAAACCAGAATGTCCGTTAAGCTGAAAATTAACAGAAAAAAAATTGTAGCTCATTTATTAAGTGTTGTACCGCAACGAGACCACCTCAAAAAACCGCTGTTTTTCTTGAAAATTTTGATTCTGGCCCTTTCCCTACGGACCGGCAAATGGTTTTGAATACGGGGTGGTGTACCCTTGTCATCTGTACATCGTTTCCAGGTGGACTCGTTGCGGCACAACCCTTAATAAATGAGCTACAATTTTTTTTCTGTTAATTTTCAAGAAAAACAGCGGTTTTTTGAACTTGGCCCTTTTCCTACGGACCGGCAAATGGTTTTGAATACGGGGTGGTGTACCCTTGTCATCTGTACATCGTTTCCAGGTGGTCTCGTTGCGGCACAACCCTTAATAAATGAGCTACAAATTTTTTTCTGTTAATTTTCAAGAAAAACGGCGGTTTTTTGAACTTGGCCCTTTTCCTACGGACCGGCAAATGATTTTGAATACGTGGTGGTGTACCCTTGTCATCTGTATATCGTTTCCAGGTGGTCTCGTTGCGGCACAACCCTTAATAAATGAGCTACAATTTTTTTTCTGTTAATTTTCAAGAAAAACAGCGGTTTTTTGATTCTGGCCCTTTCCCTACGGACCGGCAAATGGTTTTGAATACGGGGTGGTGTACCCTTGTCATCTGTTCATCGTTTCCAGGTGGTTTCGTTGCGGCACAACCCTTAATAAATGAGCTACAATTTTTTTTCTGTTAATTTTCAAGAGAAACAGCGGTTTTTTGAACTTGGCCCTTTTCCCCTACGGACCGGCAAATGATTTTGAATACGGGGGTGGTGTACCCTGTCATCTGTAACGTCGTTTCCAGATGGACAAGTTGCGGCACAACCCTTAATAAATGAGCTACAATTTTTTTTTCTGTCAATTTTCAAGAAAACAGCGGTTTTTGAT